GTGCTTTGCACTGAGCCACATCCCAGCCTGTTGCTGTCTTTTAGAATAGACTTTTTTTTCATTTGTAAGAATGACTTAGCTCTAAAAAGAAGAGGTAAAAAGAAACCAGAAAAGGACACTGTGGAAAGAACATTGACCTTTTTCCTTTTAGAAAATAAGAGAAGCAATGTGTGTGTGTGTGTGTGTGTGTGTGTGTGTGTGTGTGTGTGTGTGTGTGTGTGTGTGTGTGTGTGTGTGTGTGTGTGTGTGTGTGTGTGTGTGTATGCCTATTAAGCTTAGTTGGCTTTGACAACTAGCTTACAGTGTTGTTTTAGGTGATGTGAGGAAAAATAGTCAGAAGACCTCAACTTTCTGTATCAACTCAAAAGCTGAGTGCAACTAGGACTTTTAGATTTTTACAGAATAAGATAGGTTTCCTTTGTTAAATATAACAATAAAATCACGGACCTTACTCATAGTAAATTTCTCAGGGGTTTAGGCACTTTACTGCAGGCTGTTGCCAAATCTGATAAAATTTATGTGAAAAATAATTTTATGAAATATTAAAACACAAGTCCTATGATGACATTCAGCAAAGTGAACGTGTGAAGTATATATTTTCATTATGAAAAATACACAGAGAAGTCTGGTGCTGGTGGCTCATGCCTGAATCCTAGCTACTCAAGAGGCTGAGATCTGAGGATCACAGTTTGAAGCTATTCTGGAAGGGAAAGTGAGACTGTTATCTCCAATTAACTACCCCCCCCTCCCCCAAAAAAAGCAAAAGTGGAGCTGTGGCTCACTAGCCTTGAGCAAAAAAGCCCTAGGACTGGCACATATTAAAAGAAAAAAGGAAGGAAGGAAGGAAGGAAGGAAATACACAGAGATGTAAAGTAAAGCAGGCCTGCTGTACTTCCACATTCCACAACGCTCATTTGATGGGGTCTAGAGCCAGTGAAGCAAACTCCAGGAGCCAGAGTTTGAGACTATTCAGTTTCAGTCCCACATTTCTTCCCCCTCCTTAGTGATTCTGAGGATAGAACCCAGGGCATTAGCACATGCTAGGCAAGCACTCTGTCATGGAGCTATATTCCCAGACCTTATATTATTGTTTCAACCATGCTTTAAAAAGTAAATACAGCCAAACTTCTGAAAACTGGATTTGGCCTGTGGACTACAGTTTGCCAACCTCTGGGCTGGAGCTCTTTGATAGTGTAATAATTAAAAAAATCTTTTTCTTTCAGGTTGCAAAGGATCTCTGTATTTTTATTTTTATTTATTTTTTTCGTTGGTCATGGGGCTTGAACTCTGGGCCTGGACGCTGTCCCTCAGCTCTTCAGCTCAAGGCGAGCACTCTACCACTTGAGCTACAGTGCCACTTCGGTCTTTCCTGCCTGGGCTGGCTTTGAACCTTGATCCTCAGATCTCAGCCTCCTGAGTAGCTAGGATTACAGGTGTGAGCCACTGGTGCCCGGCTTTGATCTCTGTATTTTTTACAGAGAACTATATGTGCTTAAAATTTTCTCTAATAAAGGTGCTCTGTGGCAACCTTAGAATAAATTCTGCAAACTCAATTTAAACTTGATGATCTAACATTAACAGAAGTTTCAGAAACTTTATGACAATTTTGTGAATATTCAAGTTACCAATGACTCAATCTAGTTCAAGTATAAACAGTGTGCTCTTTAAAGCAACAGGGCAGATCACCATGAGCCAAGCTGTGCAGTGCAACCTGTTGTTGGCTCAACAACAATGACAGCAGCTAAGCTAACAGAGTGAGAGGATGTAAAGTCACTTACAGTCCTGTAAGTGAATTCCTTGATTTGGACTTAAGGATTTTCCAGTATGGAATATGATGATCAATCTTTTCTACACTAGCGGCCAACCTGAACAGGTAGTAATTTGTTGGATTTAATTATAAATGAAGACTCTGAGAAACATTGGACATTTGCATTGTATTAGAAATTGGGTAGCTAAGAATACTGGCTGAATTCTTCAGGGATCTGATTGCCTATCCAACAAAGGACTTGCCTTGTGCTGGTCTCTCTTATAATCCTTACTTTTCTTTCAACATTGTTGAAAGTTTCAGGCAAAGGTTTATAGTCCAAGGCCAGAGTTTTATCTTCAGGGAAGTAGTATCCTGTGTGGATATGAAGCTGACTGGACTGGTAGTTTTGGAGACAAGGTTTAAGTCCAGTTAAGCACAATCATACAGGTTCTCAGCAACACCAGCAACTCCGGTTCTCCCGCCACCGCCATCCCCCCAATGGAAAAAAGAGCCAATGGTGGTTCACACCTTTAATCCTAGCTACTTGGGACACCAGGAGGATCTGAGACCTCATCTCAAAAACATTATAGCAAGTATGCAAGTGTATGTGAGGCCTTGGGTTCAAATGTCAGAATCTGAATACATGATTAAAAAAAAAATCAAGGAAATGATGTTAGCCTTCCCTCCAAATCATCCTTCTTAAAGGAAGTACAAGTTTAAAAAGCAGCACTGCAGTTTCCTATTACATGAATCATGTTTGTTTTTTCAAATCACTTTACAGCTCTTTCCTTATTTAGTTGCAAATGGTCACAACAGTGAAAAGGCTGTAATCCTCAGACATGAAACACAAGACATGTCAAACTAATTATATAATACCTTTCTTTGAATGATGTAAAATATAAGACAGAAGTAGATCTGTAAATAGCTACAAAACTGTCAATTTGGGTTAAAATGTTCTCTTTGAAACATGTTTTAACAAAATGCTTAAATAGGGATACAGGTTGACTCACTGCAACAATGAGATGCACAAGACACTATGTTGAAAAACAAACTTTACGATTTAGGTTGGGGAGGGAAGGGATGGTAGGGGAAAAACAAAGGAGGAGGTAACAATGCTTGATAGGAAATGGACTCATTACCTTGCTCAAGTAACTGTAACCCTTCTGTACAGTATTTTTACAATAAAAAACATAAAAAACAAGAAACATGTTTTACACAAATGCTTATCCAGTAGCATATCATACTCCACAGGCCAAAAGAACTTCCTATCTTATAAATTGGAATTGGAAGCTGAAAACATCATATTTAGCAACAATTGAGAAATTGCTTTTAAGAGCAAAACAACGTGGAACTCATAGGACTCAGAAGAGAAACTTACATTATTAGACCCTTTAGGGATATTAATTAAATTCAGAACATACTTGTATAACAGGATTTACTTTTATAAGCATTCAGAGATTTTCATGCCCTAGGTACTGGTTTTTTTGGTTCTCAATTTTGTCTGAGTCATACCTTCTCTTCCCAGTATAAGAAAAACTCTGTAAATAACACCCAGATTATTCTAGGATTTTGCATTTTTGGTTAAATCATAATATCTCTATCTACTATTTGAAATCCCTCCAGCTGATCAGTATATCATAAAGGTAAGATATCTCTTCAGCAGGTGGGATGTTTTAGGAAAGCTCATGTTGGAGGTATGGGAAAAACTGATTAATCAGATTAAGACAAACACTTTCACCTAGTTTTTACTTAAAAAAAAACACCAAAAAATCAAAAACAGCGAATTGCTTTTAGTTTCCAAAGTGGAAATGGCAGCATGCGTATATTCAAAGGTGAGGAAACTGCTTCGTGCACAAAGTCCTAAAGTATTAATGTTTTATAAAATGGAATTTGTTCCAGGCTCACACTCTTTACATCAGTCACTTGATGCTAAGGTAAGCACCTTTTAACATCAGGTAACTTACAAATTACTACTTGCTCAGTAGGAAACAGACTTTTGCTATATTCTAGCTAAGAGGAAGTTTTCTATGCAAATGAAGAGGAGGGAGGTAAATAGACATCTAACTCTGTAAAATCCACTCAGAATCCAAGAAGTTAAAAAAGAAAGCCATTGAAATAAAGGCAAATTAGCAATAGTTTATAGATCATCAGTGATTTCACACAATTGGGGCACAGAAACAAAGTTTTCAATATGTTATTTTGTGCTAATTAGAAGGGCCACAATGTCAGGTACAATGGTCCTGGAAATGTAAAGATTTCAGTTTTCATTGAACACATATAAATTGTTTTATTCTAGGCTTTACTGTAGTCCTGCTTTACAACTGACATAAAGGTCTTTAAGATATGGCTATCCAGAGATGCCCATAGCTCTCCAGTGAGGTGTGGGGCAGTTTACTGAAAAAGTAACCACTGGTGGTGGTGAGTGAATGGCACATTGAACAAACTGCTCTAAATGGCAGTCTTGGGGTGTGCTCTCAGTGCCAGTAACCTGACCTCTATCCTGCACAACTTCTGTTTTACAATGTTGCAGCATTGTCAGGAAAGTTGTGTCTTTGTTCCTATACAGAAATTCCTTGTTCCTATGACCAAATCCTTTGTTCCTATATAATTTTTTCCCCTCAGTACTGAGGTTTAAATTCAAGGCTTCATGCTTGCTAGGCAGGTGTTGTACTACTTGAACCGTGTCTCCAATGCCCAATACAGAAATTTTTTTGTAAGGAATATTTGACTGAATGTTACAAAAATAAATTCAGCTGGGTGCTGATGGCACACATCTATAATCCTAGCTACTCAGGAGGCTGAGATCTGAGGATCTTGGTTCAAAGCCAGCCCAGAGAGGAATGTGTGTTAGGCTCTTATTTCTAATCACGAGAAAACTGCAAGTGAGTAGAGCTGTGGCTCAAAGTTGTAGAACACTAGAATTGAACAGAAAGTTGCCCAGGCCCTGACTTCAAGCCCCATGATCAACAAAACCAAACAAAACATTCATTAAAAAGTGACAGTCCAAAGTAGTTGCAAGTGAATGTAGCAATATATGAAGTTAGAATTTTCCATTAAAAAAAAAAAAGGCATTTTTATGGAGTACATTGGAACTGTTCGGTTTTATTTTCTCCTAAGCACATCCAAAGTTCTGTTAGATTTGTTTTGGCAAGTGGTTTTTAAAAATATAAAAGCAGGTGGAAATACCTGCCTAAATGGCATGTTGGGATGTTAAGTGCAGGAAAATAGGACTTGGACTAAAACTAAGGCTAACAGGTGAAGGAAACATTTTTTTCCCTTTCATTTACTAGGGCTACTTACTGAATATTGTAAAAATGAAATACGTTACCAACTTTTGTAACTTTTTCCTTTTGAAGCTGTAGCTCAAGATGTAAGCAGTGAATGTCTTTTTGTTTGATAAGTGATTGAATTTCCTAAACATTCAAAGCACTGATGTTTCTTAGCATTGTAACTTTTAGATATATAAGTCTGAGCTATTTCAATCCATATATATATATTTCCCTCAAAAAATGGAGGAGGAGGTATTTTAATGAGTTTTATGTAATAAAGCTTTAGATCCTGACCATTTCATCTAGTTAACCTGACATACTTCCCTAGGAATAACTATGACCTCTCTGAGAACAGGTAAATATCCCAAAATGTAAAAAACTCAGCGTTTTATGATATTCTCTGATAACTTCAAGTTAACTAAGAAGGATGGGATGTGAGTAGGCTAGATCACCAATAATATTGGCCTAGCCATAAAAACATAGACAACTTAAAAGATCTTTACAGAGCAGCCAGAATTTACAGAATGCTGACTGGAGGGACAGTCTGTGGAGCTTGAGAAAAGATACCAGATAATCCATCCACTCTGGCTGTGTTGCCACACAGACTGGAGCCTACAGTAAATGCTAGGAATTGAAAAGAATAGAACCCAGTGGCAGGCCAGAGTTTGCTATGTAACTTCAACAGGCACCAGGACAGAGAAGAAATGCCTAGAATTCCACAATTAGCTCTTTTAAAAAAACTTATTGGAAAACTATCTATGAGGTTAATGGTTAATATGACAACAGTATAAATCAAGGCTGATGCAGCTAAGTGCTGGCATCCAGATATGGGAGTTTGCCAGTCCTTGATAGCTGTTTTCATTAATTGAATATTAAGAAAGTTATAGCTCACATGCAACCCTTGTAAAAAAAAAAAGAGAGAGAGAAAAAGATTAATTTCCAAAGACTGCTGTTAAGAAAAGCCAAATTTCCCAGGCATTCTTGAATATCACACATCATATTTGTTTCCTTATAAACATCTTAGGACGAAGATGAGGAAAAATGAGCTAAAGCTAGGAGCTGATCACCCATCAGGCACATTCCTCATTCTCCATGGGGCTGGCAGCATTAGTTACAAAGTCTCTCCTCTGTTGCGATGATGGTCACGATGTATCTGAATGTGTAGGTCTTCTGGACTTTCTTATATATCCTTCCAGGACTATGTATGGGAGGTGGCATTTTTTCCCCTTGGTAAAATAATTCATCAGTGATTCCTGAGACGCTCAAGCACAATCATTGGCCATATTCCGAAGAGAAACTGTGGCAATAAGGATAAAATAAGAGAAGATGATTGTCCTATGCCTGGAAAGGGATGAGAAAAAAATCCATGGGGCAGTGCCTAGAGTGTTGGTAGGTTTGCTAGTGACTGTCCTGGTATTATCAGTAGTCTGGGTACAGCACATTCCTTCCAGATTTGTACCACATCTCAGAAGTTATTTTCACTTAACTGATTTAAATGTATCAGAGATTTACTTTGTCAAGCATGGAAGTGGGCATTAAAATTGTAATCCTCAAAGCAACTCTATAATATAGCTATGAACAGCTCCATTCTATTGTTGAAGTATCTCAGGCTTAAAGAGATGTATCCAAGATAATTTAGTAGTAAATGGAAGATTTTTATCTTCTTGTTCCAAAGCCTATGCTGACAGCACTAACACTCTATGCCCCCCTTTTTATCTCCTACATCCATCCCATCTTCCCCATATTTGCCTGTCAGTACACACTCACACACACCACACACACACATTCACACCTATCACTCCCCACCCCTACCCCAGGATATAGACTTACCTTTACTTTTGGCCTATATCTCAGGTAAAGTGTTCTTGTATATAAACTGAAAGAAAAAGAAGCAGGAAGAAGCTCTTTAGATTAATTTTTAATCCATAAAATCTGGCTTACCAACAAGTCTAACCATAGTGCCTTTGTATATGCAAAGTTAAAAAAAACCAATATTGGCATGTGTTTTGTTCATTCATAGGAAGTTTTTGAGGTTTAGTAATGTGATTTAAGCCTGGTGGCTCACACCGGTAATCCTAGCTACTCAGGAGGCTGAGATCTGAGGTTCAAAGCCAGCCCAGGAAGGAAAAGTCCATGAGACTTTTTATCTCCAATAAACCACACAAAAAACTGGAAGTGGCATTGTGGCTCAAGTGGTAGAGTGCTGGCCTTGAGCTGAAGAGCTCAGGGACATCATCCAGGCCCAGAGTTCAAGCCCCATGACCGACCAAAAAAAAAATTATTATTAATTAGTTGTACGAAGAGGTTTCTATTCCATAAGTGAGGTTTTATTTCTTGATCAATGTCACCTTTCCCATCATTTTGCCCATCTTTCCTCCCACTCCCATCCCTACCCTCAAGTTACATAGTTCAGCTTTTACATAATATACATTGAATATACTGGCTGCATTTGCTCACCCTTTCTTGCTCCATTCCTGTGCCTCTTCCCTTTGCCTACCCCCTAAAACATGTTTCCACTTCCTGGTGTTCACTTTGTACAAAACTTTAGCTGTTCAGAGGAGTTACGCCTTTGGATTCCTCCCTTAAGTATGATAAATATATCATCCTTATTCAGTTTGTATGTATATGCATAGAGACCTGTATATGTTATTATGCGCATTTGAATTTTAGATCTAGCTTCCACACACGAGAGAAAATATGAGCTGTTTGTCTCTCTTAACATGATTTTTTCACTTAACATGATTTTTTCTAGGTCCATCCATTTCCCTACAAATGACCTAATATTATTCTAATAGATGAGTTAAATTCCACTGTATATATGTACCACATTTTCTTGATCCGCTTATCCATTGTAGGTCATCAGGGTTGTTTCCATAACTTGGCTATTGTGAATACTGCAGCAATAAATATGGATACACAAGTGTCTTTACCATATTGTGACTTGTAATATCCTGGGTAGATGACCAAGAGTAGTAAGGCTGGTTCAGTTTTTTTTTTTGAGGAATCTCCAAACTGCCTTCCAGAGTGGTTGTACTAGTTCACATTCCCACCAACAGTGTAATAGGGTTCCTTCTCCTCGGCATCCCCACTAGCATTTGTTATTGTTCATATTCTTGATGCTGGCCAATCTTACTGGAGTGAGATAGAATTTCAATGTTGTTTTGATGTGCATTTCCATTATGGTCAGGGATGTTGAGCATTTCCTCATGTTTACTTGCCATTCTTACTTCTGAGAAATCTCTATTTAGCTCCTTTGCCCATTTATTAATTGGGTTGTTAATTTGGAGTGGATGTAGTTTCTTTTTTTGGGGGGGGGGGTCCGGTCGTGGGGCCTGAACTCTGGGCCTAGGCGCTGTCCCTCAGCTCTTCAGCTCAAGGCTAGCACTCTCTCTACCACTTGAGCCACAGTGCCACTTCCGGCCTTTTCTGCTTATGTGGTGCTGAGGAATCGAACCCAGGGGCCTCATGCATGCAAGGCAAGCCTCTACCATTGAGCCACCTTCCCAGCCCCAAGTTTCTTGAGTTCCTTGTATATTCTGGATATTTGACCTTTGTCATTACCAAGCATATTTTTGGGTACCTATCTTATATAACACTAGGCAAGATGTTTTAAGAAGACAGAAAGACAAGCTCATAGACCTCAGATGTTGTACTTTAGTTTTAAGTAACCCACTAATGCTTGATATGGTTTATTTCACAATGGTTGTTGTATTGTTAGAGATACATAGTAGCAGGAAATAAATACAGGTATGAGAAACCCAGAAAAGTAATGGGAAATGTCCTCAGTCTCCTTCAACGCGAATTACCACTAGAGATAAGATTATCCTAAATTCAATGCAGATAGCAAAGCACAGATGAATTTACCTCTGAAGAATTTATTGTACTATCTATAATATGTAGCACATACAGTTTAATGTATAGTACATTATTTAAATGTATTTGAATAGTAACATGTGATGAATACAAATATAAAACATATATAGCATTTCAACTAAGAAAGTAAAGATCAGAGAGTAGTTGGATAGGGGTAATTTTCTTTTTGTCCTTTTGAGACAGGGTCTTATGCAGCCTTTGCTTCCTGATTGCCAAGATTATAGATGTGTGCTCAGCAATTTTGAGCTCAGCAAATTTGAGTAATTTAATGTGACTATGATGTAGTTTACTGTACTTAAAACTGCAACTGTAAAAAGTCGTTATTTTGGTGTTATTTTTTGAATACTTGCTTTTTTTTGGATACTTGCTCTCTCTTAGGTTTTGACTTAAGTTTCATTTAACCTGACTAATCATTGATACTCTTAAGTATGTTATCCAAAAACTTAAAAACTAAAAAAAATGTTTACTGCAGAAAATGTTTTTGTATAACCTAGGCTGGTATTATTTCAAAAGTTAAGTGCTGAAGCTTGGTGTGGTGTTGCATGTCTGTAATCTCAGCACTTGGGAGCTGGTGGCAAAAAGAGTATGATTTGGAGGCCAGCCTGGGCTACACTGCCAGTTCCAGGACAGCCTAGGATATATAATGAGATCTCTGAAATAAAGTAGGTCCTGTTCAATTTAATCATTTCAACCATCTACTGAATATTGAATACATTAGGAAATGGAGGCGCAGAGCCAAGTAACTAATTTGGCTCACGTGTGTTCACACAATTATGAAATGATGGAGCTGCACTTAGTGGCTGCTTTTACTAAAAAGCATGGACTGTTTTTTCACTTGGACCTGCAGATGTACAATAGGAAAAGGCTTGGCTTCTCTACAAAGGAAAAATGAATTTTGCAGCTGTTTCCTTTGACACCTTAAATTTTGCTTCAGGTTCTGGCTCAAATGCAGGTGGACATGTTAATTATTTAAGGAGTATTTATGTAGAGCTGACACTCTGCCCCCACTTCAGGAATGGTACCAAAGTACTAGTAGATATATTGTGTGTGTGTGTGTGTGTGTGTGTGTGTGTGTGTGTGTGTGTGTGTGTGTAAAATGGGTTATTGACAAAGACTTCTCCCTAAACCTCTCCCTCCCCAAGAACAGATGCCAACAAGTATTTGTACAACCTTTACCCACAACCCCAGCTCTTTCCATAGATATGGCATTTTTGCAATTTACAGAGACAGTATAATCAATAGTTATAATGTCCTGTTCCAGAGCACTGGAGTAGTGCCTAAACGTTTTCAGTCATTGCCTAACTAACTCCACCTTGCTGTTCTGACTTTCTCTTTTGTCATTCTCTACTCTGGTCACCTTCATTCCAGAAACAGTTCTGCTCAACACATCTGATCAAAGGACACCTTGTAATTAGAAACTATCCAGCCCTACTGCCTCTATGCAAGTGCAACTTTCTTAGCATAGCCACCTAGGCTCTGCTTGGCTATCTATCCAGAGATAGTGACCATAGTTTGATCAAGGCTGCCTAACTATGTTCTGTCAGCATCCCCAAAGATAGTGTTGAGGACACTTGGTTCCCGTGGTACTTTCTATACCAAATAATATTTTTTCTTGCTCTTTTTTTGTCATTACTTTTTTTCCTATTTGAATTTTGAGGAAAGAGGCTGGCAATCTGGTTTATTGATACTTTTCAAATTTAGTCCTGCCCACGGCCTAGGATATGGTAATAGAGCCATGATCTGAACTCTCTTTCTGTCTTCGTTTCTCTCTCACACACAAATACAAACTTTCCCCCTGGTACTGGTACTAGGTCCTGTTCAATTTAATAATTTCAACCATCTATTGAATACATTAGGAAATTGAGGCACAGAGCCAAGTAACTAATTTGGCTCAAGTGTGTCACACAATTATGAATGATGGAGCTGCACCTAGTGGCTGTTTTACTAAAAGCACTGACTTTTTTTCACTTGGACCTGAAGATGTACAGGTTACTCAGCTTTTTCTGTTCATAGCTGGCACTTGAAATATGCTTCTACCTGCAGTTGGTTATTTGGAAATAAGAATCTCTCAGACTTTTCTACATGGGCTGGGAACCCTGGTTCTCAGATCTCAGCTTCCTGAGTACGTAGGATTCCAGGTGTGAACCCAGTTTCGCATACATATTTGAGACAGTTTCACCATATATTTCACGCTCATTTTAAACTTGCTATGTAGGCCAGGCTAGCCTTGATTTCTTTATCTTCCTGCCATAGCCTCACCACAACAGGCTTGAACTCAGATTTTCATTATCTTATTTTGTTTAGGACATGTTTTCATTATGTAGCTCAGGATGGCCTGAGCTCAGATATTTTTAGTCTTCTGTGTCAACTCTTTGAAACAAACACCAGAATATTTATTTATATATTTATAACACATGTTATATCATTAAACTCTCAAATAATCCATTGACTTTTTCTATTCCATTCTCCATTCATTGAAGTAATTATAGACCACAAATTTCCATATCACTGAAGTATAAACATCTATATTTCTTTTATTTTACTTAGGGTAAAACATCTCTAAAAAACATTCTGTTCTTCTCTGTCTCCTTCTAAAAATGACAGTAAAACATTTAAACATTAATAATAAAAAATGCCACCAAATCTTTTGTTTTGCTTTTGTTTGTTCACTTTTTCACATGCAAGTCAATTTTCTACAGTTTTAAATATGTTGACAAATCTTTTATTTAATTATTTTGATTAAAAAAATCAGAGTATTTTTCACTGCTGCTGTAAAGTTTCCAAGAATATAAAAGTTATAAAGAATATAACTTATTTTAAGATTTTTTTCCCTTTACTGAGCAGTCTATTTTGTTTTTATTCTTACTGTTTTGCTAAATTAAGTAACAATGGGGGGCTGAAAATGTGGCTTAGTGGTAGAGTGCTTGCCTAGCATGCATGAATCCCTGGGTTTAATTCCTTAGTACCACATAAATAGAAAAAGCCAGAAGTGGCACTGTGGCTCAAGTGGTAGAGTGCTAGACTTGAGCAAAAAAAGAAGCTCAGGGCCGGGCGCTGGTGGCTCACGCCTGTAATCCTAGCTACTCAGGAGGCTGAGATCTGAGGATCGCGGTTCAAAGCCAGCCCGGGCAGGAGAGACCGTGAGACTCCTATCTCCAATAAACCACCAGAAAACCGGAAGTGGCACTGTAGCTCAAGTGGTAGAGCGCTCGCCTTGAGCTGAAGAGCTGAGGGACAGCGCCCAGGCCCAGAGTTCAAGCCCCACGACCGACAAAAAAAAAAAAAAAAAGAAGCTCAGGGACAGTGCCCAAACCCTGAGTTCAAGCCCCTGGACTTGCAAAACAACAACAACAAAACCCCCAACCCCCCTCCCCCCCAAAAAAGCCCAATAGGATAAGAACTCTTTTATTTAACATTATGATAAGAATGCTTTTTCTTGGCAAATTTTTAATTTCTTGGTAAATTTAATTTTTCTTGGGTAAATTCCTAGGAATATAGTAATTGTGATAAAATTGTCAATACTTTATTTATTGGAAGTTCTGAAAGTTGAACTTAGAGCTTCATGATAGGCAAGCACTCTATTATCTTCAGCACAATATTTTGTCTTTATGAACACATAATATCAAATTTTGAGGGGTAAAGTTTTGACTCAAGTGTTTGAGCACGTTCTTAGAAGAGTGATATCCTGTGTTCAAATCTTAGGATTGCCAAAAAAAAAAAAATTCTGGAAAGGGCTGCACTGGCATGATGCTGGTGGCTTATACCTAAAATTCTTGATATTCAAGAGGCTGAGATTGAGTATCATGTTTCAAAGCCAGCCCAGGCAGAAAAGTCTGAGACCCTATCTCCAAAATAACCAACAAAAGTCAGGCTGGAGGCATGGTTCAAGTGGTTCAGAACCATCTGAGTGAGCTCAATAAGTGCAAGACCATTTTGAGCTCTAGTAGTGTCTCCTTCAAAGGCTTTAATTAATTTACACTACCAAGAATATGTAGTCATATCATTTCTACTCCAGTCTGAAGAATACAGAAGGAATTTTCAAAATATTTGCTCAGTTTATAAAAAAAAATTCTATTATTTAATATATTTTAACAGGCAATATAAGTAACTTGACAAAAACAAAAATACAAAAGAGTATACAGTAAAAAGGAAATTTCTTCCCTCCTGCCCTTCCATTCTTGTGCTTGGGATTGAACCCAGGGCACTCCACCACTAAGCTACATCCCCAGCTCTTGCCTTTTTGAAATAGGATCTGCTATGGATCACAGGCTAGCACAGACTTCTGATTCTCCTGCCTCTGCCTCCTAAGTGCTATGATTATATGCATGTGCCACCATGTATATCCCTGACCTCCAGTTCCTAGTTTATTAGTCCAGAAATAAGTACTGTTACTATTGGTCCACATACTCTTACAGAATTCATGTCTTTACAAGCATACATATCTATTAAGCTCTTTTTTCAGAAAAATGGATATGTCATTATTTTAGAGGACATTTCACTGAGTCTCAGGTAGATGGTTTTTATTTGCTCATTTACTACAATTATCTCAAAAACACATTTTTTTTTTCTTTTTGGAATTTAAAAGTAGTCTCAAACTTACAGAAAAAAATGGCAAGATTGGTGTGGTGAAGTCCTATATCCCTTCCATTCGGATTTACCATTTAACCATGAACTATGGTATGATTCATTCAATCATACCATCCCACACACCTTCACATACAAATACAAATAAATACATGCATGTACACATATATACATATATAACTATTAACTATATAACTATGCACATACAACAATATAATTATAACTATTCTTAAGTCTTTATCTAAAATGATACTCCATTATCCCTGAATACTCCAGTGTATACTGCCACAAAATAAGAGCTCTCTCTCTCTAAATCACAATGATATTGTGAACAGCTCACAGCCCATTTTTGCTGTAAAGGGCTGACCTTCATCAGACTCTACTAGGAGGACACCAGGAGAAAAGTGCAATCAGTTCAGAGAGTTATTTGCAGAAAGAAGAAAACTCTTTTGAGCCAATAATTCATGGCTTAGGTCTGGGCCATGAGCAACATTAAAGATTAAGTTGAGGGCCATTCTATATAACCAAAGTCTGTGCTCTTTAAGACCATCAAGTATCAATGAGAAATTAGTCAAGGCAGAAAGAAATTAGTCAAAGCACAAAGGTATTACATGAAAAGTAAATGCTATGCATGTTTCTGCTAGGAACCTGGCTCAGAAAAAAAAAAAAAAAAAGACAAGTCATTGGGACAACTGGCAAAATGGACATGAGAAATATGCTTCCATGTACTTGGGGCAGAGGCAAAGCTGGAAATAAGTTTCCAGTTCCATATCCAACATTTATGTTTACACCAACCAGTCTGAAGAGCCAAAATGGAAAGAAAGGAAAACCCTTTCAATACTAGGTTAAAAATGATCTGTATTTCCTACCTGAAAAGGATGTGGAGATAAGAACCAAGTCCTGTTAAAATATGCCACCATGCATGAAACTGTGTGCTAACGCCAAGAATAGGTGGCAGCTTCTTTCTAAAGTTCCTGTATAGAGAAGGAAAAATCAGTATGTTAAAATTTAAAACATCTAGCACTGGAGCGGACAGTGTTGAAACAGTTCGAATTTTCAATTTCAAATATGGCAATTATTTAATTTTTTTAAGTCTGTGGTATTGTTTCTCAAAGTATACTAGCATTCCTACTAGAAACTTCATGAAGAAAGGAGTCAAGTTAATGTGGGAAATGTGGTTTAATGATCTTTTTTTCTTTCTTTATTTTTTTGTTGGTCATGGGGCCTGAACTCTGGGCCTGGGCGCTGTCCCTCAGTTCTTCAGTTCAAGGCTAGCGCTCTACCACTTGAGCCATAGCACCACTTCCAGCTATTTTCTGCTTATGTGGTGCCGAGGAATCGAACCCAGGGCCTCATGCATGTGAGGCAAGGAATCTACCACTGAGCCACCTTCCCAGCCCCTGGTTAATGATCTTCTAATGACTCTTAGTGTATATTAATAATTTCTTTGAAAAGTATATTCTAAGAATTTTTTTCTTCAGGTAACCTGCAATCCATGGAATGTGTTTTTATAGGAAATTTTTATTAACACTTCATGGAACAACTATTTTCTAGAACACATTTTTGGAAATATTAGTCTAGTTAGCTATCCACTCAAGAAAGTAGACATGTTTCCTGTCGTTATGGTTTCTTTAGCATCTATGCCTTTACCTTGTAACCAGAAATTCTTGGAGGAGGATATTATTAGCTTAGCTGTACAAATTAAGAATTTAAAATTTGGAGAGATTAAATTAGTTTATTGAGTTATTCAGCTAGTGGCAGAGCTGGAGCTCAAATTCTAGATTGTTCAATTCAGTGTATGCAAAACTAACATTTATCAGAAAAACATTTTTCTAGACAACTCCATGAAATTTGGGGTACACAGTATATATGTATAGTCCTCATCCAGAGGATGAAGGGATGATGATCTATCTATGCAGCAGGTTCTGCTGGGTATTCCTCTTCGGAATCTCACCTAGATCATAGTTTTATTTTAAATATTTTTATGAGCATACATTAATTGTACAAGGAGTAGGGGGAAGCTGGGTGCTGGTAGCTCACACCTATAATCCTAGCTACTCAGGAGGCTGAGATCTGAGGATTATGGTTCAAAGTCAGTCCATGAGACTCTTATCTCCAATAAAGTACTAGAAAACTGGAAGTGGTGCTGTGGCTCAAGTGGTAGAACGCTCTCCTTGAGCTGAAGAGCTGAGGGATAGCGCCCAAGCCCTGAGTTCAAGCCCTGAGTTCAAGTTCTATTGTGACAGTTTCACACATGTATATAACATCTCCCAATTAATACCCTTATCATTGTCCCTTCTCTCCAAGTTCCCAACACATTAGATCCTCACTTTCTAAGCAGGGTATATATTGCTTATTTATCTACATTGAAAGTCTATATATACTTACATAAGTGTTTTACTATGGAAAATTTTAATATGGAAAAGTAGGCAAACTAATAATGTATCTATTATCTAATGTCAACTATGATCAACTCTATGTCATTTCAACATTCCTCCAATTCTCCTTCCCTCACATATTAGTTTGAAGCAATTATTGGATATTATATAACTTTCTTTCAGTGTACATATATTGACAAATCTTACAGTATATATAGATGATTATTTAAAACATAAGCACAATACCACTGCATACCTTAAAATATTAGTAATAATACTTAATATCAAGGATTTAATTATTTATCAGAGTTTCATGTGTCTTATAAATTTGTTCTTAAAGTTCATTTGTTTGAATTACAATACATTTGGTTAATCTCTCTCTTTTGGGGGAGGAGGAAAGGAGTGGGTACAATCAGACCCAGAGTCTCCTGGGCTCTAGACAAGTGCTGTATCACTGAACTACACCTCTAGCCCCTTTATTTTTTATTTTTTTGGGTCCGGTCGTGGGGCCTGAACTCTGGGCCTGGGCGCTGTCCCTCAGCTCTTCAGCTCAAGGCTAGCTCTACCACTTGAGCCACAGCGCCACTTCCGGCTTTTTTCTGTTTGCTTATGTGGTATTGAGGAATCGAACCCAGGGCCTCGAGCATGCAAGGCAAGTGTTCTACCACTGAGCCACCTTCCCAGCCCCACCTCTAGCCCCTTTAATACATCTTTTAAAGTTCCTAATTTATGTCAATCCTGTTTTCTCTACCATGTCTGCAATTTATTTGTTGCAGAGAGAAGGTCATTCATCCTGTGAGTTTCCCATATTCTGAATCTTGCTGTGTCCTCCTTGTGCTGCCGTTCAGAGTGGTATAATCCTCTGTCCTTCATATTTATGCAACATTGTTAGGTCACAGAATTTGGGGTTGAACTGACTCATTAATCTACTTAATGTGCTTATTTGATGGCAATTCAGACCCAGAAAGTGACCAAGCGAAAGACTAGAATCTGGATACCTAAGCTTAAGATTTCAAATCCTGTCATATGTAATTGCTGACAAGATGGTAAAAGGAACTTACCTTTCTTAGAAAATAAAATTAACTATATGAAAGTCCAAGTTTATGTATATGCATTTCATATGCTTTTTACAAATCATTTTTAATTCAGTAAAACATATCAGGCAGGTCTCAAAGATATAATAAACATCGATTGACTACAGTTCTATGATGTATACACACAAAACACCTGAAGCCTACAGAAGTTATCAAATACTCTAAGGTTCAAATTTTCATGTAATTTAAACAAGTATTCTTAAAATGTAACTTTATTGTGTTGTATAATATCAACATTGGTAAAAATTTATTTCAGAGCACTGGTATTTCTATATACCTATTAAATCCTCTACTAATAAAATGCTTTCCAAACAATTTCTCAAGGAGTGAAATGTATCTTACCTCAATGAATAACAAAAGATGTTATCTATGTTCCAAAGTAAAAATCCCAATAAAAATATACCCAACGACGTATAACCCAGCCCTCTAAGCCAGGGGTATACCCTGTGGGGAAAAAGAAAAGCAAAATTAAAAATTTTCTAGTTATGCCATGGTTAGTACTGAAGTCATTGCCTTTGTGAAAAGGAAAAGTCATTAGTATAAAATTCTTCAATTTGATACATATATATGTCACACAAATATATTAATTAAAAAATACCCTCTTGGGTCTAAATAGTCCTTCTGACTCCTAAGTAGTTGGGACTTCAGAATCAATCCATTCCTGCACCTGAGCATTTGTCAAATATATGTAGCCATTAAAAAGGCAAAAAAAGAGCATTACCAACACTTTTGTTCAGTATAGAAGGAAAACAATCTGGTAAAATTACCCTACAACTTCTTCAGTGCCATGGAAGAGATAAGTGGATGGTGTTAGAATGAACATGAACTGAGTCACATGTTCTGTCAGGTAGCGAAGTTGAAACACTCAGATGTGTGCACATACAATCTCATACTCATTCATGCACAATCATTTTATAATGTATATTGAATGCTTACTATTTGCCAGTTATTGTTCTGAGCATTTGAGTGGGTTAATAGTTAATAAGACCAAAGCCCCTGTTCTCTAGGAACTTACAGTATAGTGGGGGGAGGTAAACAAGTAAACATAATACATTACTAGTTGCAACTGCTTTACAAAAAAGTAAGGCCTAGCAAGAAAAAAAGGTGATATAGAGGTAACCTTTAGATGGGTGTATAAATCTCCAAATAAATTCTGAGGGAGGTATTATTTTCACTGATGAGGAAACTGAAGATTTGTGAGTTACCTAAAACATTGACGGTAGTTTTTTTGACTTGAGAGTTTTAATGAGGTAGATTGTGTGTATGGTGTGTGTGTGAGTGTGCGTGTACCAGTACAGGGGCTTGAACTCAGGGCCTCACACTCCTACTCAGAGGCTGACTTTCTACCACTTAAGCCGTAATCCATTTCCAGTTCTCTGACGGTTAATTGGAGATGAGTTTCATGGTTTTGTTTGTTTGTAGTTTTGTCTGCCCCAGCTTGCTTTGAACGCTGATCCTCAGATTTCAGCCTGCTGTGTAGTTAGGATTATAGGTTGATGTGAGGCAATGCACCAGGCTGATTGTATATATGTAAAAAATATGTATCTGATGAATACATCTCTAAATACGATCAAACTAACACCACAATAAAGATGATATATATTCCATTACCGCCAAAGCTTAGTTTGCATTTTTTAGAATGGAATCTTAACATATATACTCCTTGCATGATTTCTTTCATTTAGCATTTTAAGATTCATTCATTCATGTTGGTGTGTGTCAACACTTTTATTGCGGAGTACTATTCCATTCAATGGACACAATACAATTAGTGTATCTGTCTAGATTCTGGTGCATATTGTTTTTAGTTTTTGACCATTATAAAAAGGCATCTATGAACATTCATAAATGTGTGATTGAAGCTAGGATCTTGCAAATTCTAGGTAAACATGCTACTGAGCTACTTACTCAACCCCAGAACTTTTTTCTTAAGTGACAGTGCCAATTTTACATTTCCACTAGCCATGTAAACAGGTCCTTGTTAAAACACATCCTCATCAACACTTGGTATATCAGGCCCCTTCATGTTGCTGTTCTAGCAGTGGCATCTCTACTAGTGTAGTGGCATTTCACATATTTCCTTGTTTTCTATTCACATTTCCTAATGGTTATTATTGAGTATAATTTCATTTACTTGTTTGCTATCCATATATCTTATTGGATAAAGTGCTAATTGTTTATCTTACAAACTCTCTCTCTATATGTATGAGATAGAGCTATGAATATAGAACATCTATCTTCAACGAAAGTCCTTTGTTATATATGTATTTTATATACTGAACATGTATTTTACAGATAGGTTCTAAGTATGTGACTTGACTTTCACCTTAAACGCTGTAGCTTTGAAGAACTAAAATCTGTAGCTTCTAAGAAGTTATAACTATGCTTGCCCAGAATGGCCTTGAAATCCTGGGCTCAAGTGATCTTCCTGTCTTCTGTTAGCTATAGGGACTATTGGTACATACTTCCAGACCTAGCTAACAATCTGTAATTTTGATGAAGTTTATTATTTCACTTCATAGTTTTTGCTTGTGTCATAATTAATGATATTTTGCCTGATTGGAGGCTGAAAGACTTCTATATTTTTCTTCTAAGTTTTATAAATTTTTGTTTTACATATAGATATATGATTCTTTTCTATGGCATATTCATAATGGGGCTGGGGATGTAGCTTTCATGTAACTTAAAGAGGCATTCTTAAAACATAACTTTACTGTGTTGGACAATATCAACATTGGTAAAAATTTATTTCAGAGCACTGATATTTCTAGATGCCTATTAAATTATCTGCTAATAAAATGCTTTCAAAACACTTTCTCAAGGAGTGCAAGTCAGAGTGCTTGCCATGAAGGAAGGAGCCCCTGAATATGAAGAATGGACTCCAGCACCACAAAAAAAAGAAAAGGAAAAAAAAAAGATAGTATTAGGTTGAAATTCACGTTTCCATGTTTTTCCCTTAAGAATATATGGTTGCTACATGCCTATAATTCAAACTACTTGGGAGGCAGGAGAATTATGAGTTGGAAGTCAGATTAGCCAAAGTTAACAAGACCCTATCAGAAAAAAAGTCCAAATACAAAAATGAAAAGGGCAAAGGGGCTGGGAATATGGAGGTATGGTGTGGCTTCAGTGAAATGATAGTACTTGCCTAGCTAGCATGTGCAAGGAAAGTTTGGGCTCTAATTTCCAGTACGGTGTAGGGGAAAGTCAGTTGTTCTAAGCACAATTTGTTGGTCTTTTCTCAACTAAACAGATAATCTACTAAGTTAAGGGGCTTTTCTCAGCCAGATGACCTAGACACTTTTTATTTAAGATGAGGCAAGTATTGATGTGTGGGTCTACTCTTGAATGTTCTACTGAACTTATCATTTAAGTATGTTCTATAGCCTTAACAGCTATAATGCAACACTGTCTTGATTACATCAAGCACAGTAAATACTCCAGCCTTTTGGGTGATGGAGACTGAACCCAGAGCTTTGTGCCTGTTAAGTATGCATCTGTCCTCTAACTGTGCTCTTTTTTCCCCCATAACAGTATGGGCCATTCTACATCCCACTCATCTGATGTGTGTGTCAGAATTGAGTTTCTCAATTTTTACCAAAAAAATTTGAGGTTTTATATATACATATATAGTATTATGAGTTTCCTAACTCATAAAAGGTTATGGTTCTCCATTTATTTAGGTTTGCATTTAAACTCTCAGCAAAAAAATTTACAGATCTGACATGTTATTTTAACCCTGAACATTTGATGTGTTATAAACTGTACTTTTAATAACCTTTTTTCCTACTCACCACTAACACAGAAATAATGATTTTGTTTGAATTCTGACTAGAATCTGTGACTATGCTAGATTTTTGGTACATTTTCTGTGATTTTTTTTTTTCTGTACATAATCAGGCTATCTTCAAATACCATCTTGGGCAGAACATCCACTAATACAATGTTGAATAAAATGGCGATCCTATCTTTATTTTATACTTGATGTCAAAGGGAATTTTCAAAAAACATACCTTGACTATTTTTACTAGTGTGTTATGTGCTATAAAGTTACATCTTTAAGAAATTCCTGGGCTGCTACATCTTGTATATACATTTTTCTAATTTGGGGAAAGGAAGGGAAATAACAAAATGCTGAGATAAGGATACAGGTTGACTCATTGTAACAATGAGATGTACAAGACACTGTTGAAAATGAACTTTACAATTTGGGAGGTGGGAGGAGTTGGAGAGGTAGGGAAGGGATGGTAGGGTAAAAACAAAGGAGGAGGTAACAACAGTCAATAGGAAATGAACTCATTACCTTATTCATGTAACTGTAACCCCTCTGTACCATATCTTTAAAATAAAATATATATTAAAAAAATTCCTGGCCTGGGAATGTGGCTTAATGGTAGAGTGCTTGTTTTGAATGCATAAAGCCCTGGGTTCGATTCCTCAGTACCACATAAACAGAAAAAGGTAGAAGTGGTGCTGTGGTTCAAGTGGTAGCATGCTAGCTTTCAGCAAAAGAAGCTCAGGGACAGTACCCTGAGTTTAAGCCCCAGGTCTGGGGGAAAAGAACAAAGAGAGAGAGAAAATTCCCTTTTATCACTAATTTATAAGGCCATTTGTTTTGTTTTTAAGTAAATGGGTATTGAAATTTACAGAATGCTTTTTGTAAAGCTGCAGATATGACTAGGCAGTTTTTCTTCTATGTGTGTGTGTGTGTATGTGTGTGTATTTTTTTGTCGGTCATGGGACTTGAATTCTGGGCCTGGGCACTGTCCCTGAGCTCTTCAGCTCAAGGCCAGTGCTCTACCACTGGAGCTACAAAGCCACTTCTGGTTTTCTGGTGGTTAATTGGAGATCAGAGTCTCACAGACTCTCCTTCCCAGGCTGGCTTCGAACTACAACCCTCAGATCTCAGCCTCCTTAGTAGCTAGGATTTCAGGTGTGAGCCACCAGTGCCCAGCTTCTTCTATATTTTTAAAATATGGTGAATAGAAATACATTTTCAAATATTTTGTTATTTTAACTGTAAGTATTTGCATATAAATGAATGCAAAAGGTGGTTAATTTAAAAGCCATCAGGAAAACACAAATGGCAATATATGAAAAGGATGTTATTGCTATTGCTTGGTGAAGGTTCTCAAGAGTAGATGCACTTGTAAAAATCATATTCTGTCTTCAATTTTTCAGAGTTTATCACAGCCACTATTTGGAGAAGGTAAGAAAGAGCCCCAGGAAATGTTTCAGGACTCCCAGAAGGGTGAGAAGATGGGCCAGCTGTAGAAATGTGATGGTGATATGATTACTGAAATGAAATGCTGCCTATTTTCTGCTTCTAAACTTACTTACCACGGCCACTTTTCAACTCTCTTCAGTGGTTCAAAGTAAAATTCTTCTGGGGGTGAAGTGAAATGAATGTCTTTGATTATCCAGGTAGCAGGGCACGGAAGAGAGAGCAAGAACTTCATCAGCACATGGTCCATGCAAGCTAAGTACAGACAAGATTCTGGGGACATACTACCCAAACATCATCAGGGGTAAGAGTATAAAATACAGATGTCCCTCAAAACATGTCTGGACTCATAGTCTAGACTGTTTGCTTGTCTGATGTACTGTTATCATCTAAGAAGTCCCTTTTCTTCACCTCCAGAATTGCCCCATTATCTCTTCTAGATTAGGTTTCCTATCTTGAATCCCATGCTGCCTTTCTTCTTTTTGTATTACTCTCTCAGTTTATTGGAACAAGTCCTCTTAACAGAAGTAAACTTCCATAATAGTTTATGGGATTTAAACTATTTTTTTGGTCGGGCTTTCTTTTTGTAGGGCTTGAACTCAGGTCCAGGTACTGTCCCTGAGCTCTCTTTGCTCAAGGATAGCACTCTACTACTTTGGGCCACAGTGCCATTTCTGGTTTTCTAGTGGTTAATTGGAGACAAGAGGCTCATAGACTTTCCTGCCTGGGCTGGCTTTGAACCACAATTCTCACATCTCAGCCTTCGAAGTAGCTAGGACTACAAACATGAGCCACCAAGCACCCAGTAGATTTAAAACTTTTTAGTAGAACTTTAACATATGAAAAAATATTTTCTCCATATTTTATTGTTTGGTTGACTACAAGGTTTTAGGTTAGAAATGATTTTTTTTCTGTAGAAATTTGAGAGCACTGATTGACTATCTTCTAGTTTATAATGTTGTTTTTACAAGTTCAAAGCTATTCTGATACCTAACCCTATCTCCCAACTCTTATAAACTTAAGAAATCTTCCTTGTTACAGAATTCTGCAACTGACATGGATCTATTTGTATCCTTGTGCTTGGTATCCAATGAACTCTCTCAGTTTAATAACTTGGGTCTTTCAATTGTACATATTTGTTTTTGGAATTACTGTGATAAGTACTTCCCTTTCATTTTCTCTGTTGTCTATGCTTTCCACCCCTCCCCGCTTCCCCTCATGGCCCTTGGGCCTTTAACCATTCATTCTTCTACTCGGTAATAATTCTTATGAAGAATTCTGTTTTCCATTTCTTTCATTTTTTTGTGTATTATACTCAATGGATTCTTGAACTGGACACCTCAAAACCTTCAATTCAATTTTATATTTTATCATAGTTTTAACTTTTTATTCATGGAATATTTATTTATTTTTGGTGCTGTTCCTGAGACTTGAACTCAGGACCTCAGTGCTGTCCCTGAGCATTTTTTACTCAAGGCTAGAGCTCTACCACTAGAGTCACAACCCTACTTTCTCTGTAGTTAACTGAAGACTGGACTTTCCTGCCCAGGCTGGCTTTAAACATGATCCTCAAATTTCAGCCTCCTGAGTAGCTAGGATTATATGAGTATTACTTTTTATATAGCATTTGGAATTATCTGATTATCACTGATTATCACTCTGCAAGTAGGAGAGGCGGCGAACAGCCAGGCTCCCCTTGACATAGTGGCATCTCAAGGGTCCAGTTCTTTACAGATTCTCACAGCAATTATTTAACTCAAGTTGCCTTGCTACCTTCTTTTACTGGAGTAAAATCTAATTTTCTGGCCTTGTCCTGCAATGATTGTATACCTCTTATAGACGTGTATATTGGTGGGAAACAGTTCCAGTTACCTGCCTTAAATCTGCCAAAATGTTTGTCTGCTGCTTTGTTTTGATTTTGTTGTGGTGCTGTGTATGAAACCCAAGACCCTTGTGCATGTTCGGCAAGCACTTTTATTTATTTATTTTTTATTCTTTTGTTGCTCATGGGGCTTGAACTCTGGGCGTGGGCACTATCCCTGCACTCTTCAGCTCAAGGTGCGTGCTCTACTGCTTGAGCCACAGCACCACTTCTGATTTTCTAGTGGTTAACTGGAGATAAGAGTCTCATGGACTTTTCTGCCCAGGCTGGCTTTGAACCATGATCCTCAGATCTCAGCCTCCTGAGTAGCTAGGATTACAGGTGTGAGCCACCGGCATCCGGCTAAGCACTTTAATATTAAGCTGCATAACCGGGACCCAACCCAAAACCTCTGTCTTCTATTGAGGCTACTGAAACGGAAAGTTTGGTCTCCTGATAATTTCATATTGATAATGACTTAAATACTCATTTATCACTATGGTTTGTAGCTCCTTCTTTGGATTCTGTATTTTTCTTATGTTTCCTTGAGCTCAGCTAGATATTCAAACAGTCTGTTGCATCTTATCCAGAATTTCTATGTATTTGTTATAGCAGGAAATTTCAGGTATCTTAGCAGGCATATTAAAACAGAATTTTTACAGTTTCAGTTTGCTTTCAAGAACCTTTATGGATAAGCACAATCTTGGACTCCAGGAATTACCAAGTTAATTAAGACTTTAAAAAGCTCATAAGGTAAGTTGGCAGACAGGTAAGTAGATGATAAACAATACTAACTGAAATGATCACCAAATGTAAATACAAGAAAGAGGCTGTAACAAGGCAGATGAAAGATGATTTTATTTTATAGGATTGCCTCTGCTAAGTGGTTTTTAAATATTTGTCACTGTGCTTCTAAAGGTACTGGTATTATATTTATCAGATGAGTTAAGTCAAGGATTATGTTTCATGTTATTTTCAGATTTCCCTAAGGTGATTAAAAAATCAGAATAAACTGGGAACTTCTGCATCTAGGAAGAAAGCACATACTTTTTTCTATTTTTAACTAAATACACAAAATTCTTGGATATTACATATAAAATAAATATTAGAAGAGTTTTCCTTGGAGAGAAGGTGAAGTAGCTAAAAATTAAGAATTGAGAAGTGATAGTTTCCTCCACTTAAAAATCATTAATATTATTCTAATAATCATATCATAATTTCATGTAGTTAGGGGGGTACAATATGGTGTTCATATACACCCAATGTGGAATGACTAAAGGAAGCTAATTAATATATTTATCTTTTTGTGGTAAGACATTTGAACTTTAGAGTAAATATAGTCACACCTTGATATGTAACAGATATTAAAAACTAATTTCTCATATTTAACTGAAACTTTGTACCCACTGACCAACATTTCTCCATTCCCTTTCTCCATAATCCTTATCACTGGTAACTCCATTTCACTCTGTACTATGAAGTTTTAGAATCCATATATAGGTTACTTCATGAATCATTTCTCTTTTTTTTTTGCCTGGTTTATTTTACTTAGCATAATACTCGCCAGGTTCATACACCATGTGTTTTCTTTTTGTCTAACATATTCCAGGCTTGGAACTTACAAAGCCACCAACTTAGCAACAACACTAAGCACAGACAAAATGATCCCCAACAAAACCTACTTTTTAGTCAAAGGGCCATAAAAACACAGAAAGAAAGAAAACTTTCTAGGTAATAATTTCTCTTCTATAGCTAAATACCATACAAAGAAACTCTGGTCCCCAACCCAACCCATACAGCAAACCCAGAGCCAAGACTTGTGTTGTTATAGGCCACAGGAAGGCATTCCAACCCCTTACCTAGCTAAGATGACCAAGAAGAGAGCATGGGACTTTCCTTCTCAAACAGCAGTGTTAGGAGGCTGTGAGGAGTCTGGACCTCCATCTTCACTACCCCTACTGGAGAATCAGAACGTTTGTCATTGGCCATATGTAATAAGACAACTGAGGTGTCAGAGGAGACCACATGGTGAGAAACAATTAGCTACTCCTGCCTCTTTCTTCCAGAATAGTATCAGGGGCTGTAAGGCTTGTTAAAGAAGCAGAAATTCCCTCCCAGCCCAGCAGTTAGTGAGGATCATTCTCCAACTGGGCTGCCAACGGAGACTAAGACAGAACCTGACCTTCTGAAAATATATGATTGTAACGAGGAGACAGGCACTCAGGGACCCGTGTGGGTGTATAAAAAAAAAAAAAATCTAAGTTTTGTGTTATTGATGTATCAAAAGGATGGGAGAAAAAGAATAAGACTATAAAAATTTGACATTTGATGATGGAATGACTGAAATCTTTCTCCCAAAAATAAACAACCCAATTGAAGAAATTGAGGCAACCACAAAGATTTAAAACCCAATGAAACTCACAAAGATCTTGAAAGCACTGAGAAATATAATCTTATCTATAAGGAAAGACAATTCAAAGGATAGCAGATTTCCCATTAAAAATAAAAGTGAAAGCCAGAAGGAAGTGGCATACTTTTCAAATTCTGAAAGAAAACTATTGTCAACCTAGAATCCTATATCCAGTGAATACAGGAATAAGATAAAAAAATCAAGACATTCTCAAGTTAAGAAAATCTAAGAGGATATATTGACAGATCTACCTTGAAAGAATGGCTAAAGAAACAAAAAGGCAAGAAGGAAAGAAGGATATCACAATACCAGAAAGGAAGAAAAAGCAATGGTAACAGTAAGAATGTGGAAAAATAAACTTTCCCTCTCCTCTAGAGTTTTCTAAAAATATATTACAATTGAAGCAAAAATAATTAGTTCTGTCTGATCTTGTTCTGAACTTATATAACAAAAATATTTTAGATAATTATATTTTAAATGAGGCATGGTAAAGCTGAATTCCTAATCTTATACTTCAGAATGTGATTTAGTTTTGATAGGGTTATTGTGGATATAATTTGAAATGAATAGGGTAGGTAGGGTCCTACTCCAAGAAGACTGGTATCATAATAACGAAGACAGAGGAAAACAGGGAGAAGACCATGTGACAACAAAAGCATAGCCTATATGTCAAGGAATGACAATGCAGCCAGCAATCTAGGAAAAGGTAAGGAAGGATTAGTCTACCTTAATCTTTTATTTTTGGCTTTCAGAAAATATATGCCTTTTATTTAAGCTATATAATATGTAATATTTTGTTACAGCACCCCTTGCAAACTAAAAGAAGGTAAAAATGTCAATTTAATAAAAAGAACATCTACAAAAGGCATATAGCTAACATTGTGCTTAAAGGTGACAGACAGTATGCTTATCCTCTAAAACTGGGAACAAAGCAAGGATATCTGTTCTTATAATTCCTATTCAATGTTGTCCTGGTAGGTCTTTCTAGTTAAGGCAAAAAGGAAAAAGAAAAGAATTAAAAGCATACATATTAGAGAGGAAAATATCAAACTTTCTATCTGTAATAAATCTCAAAAATACTCTTTGTACTACTGACTTTAGCAAGGTAGCAGAACAGAAACTAAATATAAAACACAATACATTGCTTTGCTATGTAATAGCAATGAATAGTTCATACAATTTAAAAATACAAAACTGGGTTGGGATGAAGCTTGGTGGTAGAATGACTAGCATATGCAATGCCCTTGATTTGATGACTCCTGTTGGCCCCCACAAAAAAAAATGAGCAAGATAAAACAAACAAACATAATGCAACTTATAATTGCTTAAAAATGAAAAGTACACAATGCTGATGAAAGAAAAACTTTTTCTTTTTCTTTTCGGTGGTTGGGCATGAACTCTGGGCCTGGGCACTGTCCCTCAGTTCTTCAGCTCAAGGCTAGCACTCTACCACTTGAGCCAAAGTGCCACTTCTGGTTTTTTTCTGCTTATGTGGTACTGAGGAATCGAACCCAGGCCCTCATGCATGCAAGGCAAGCACTTTTACCACAGTGCCACCTTCCCAGCCCAAGAAAAACTTTTAAATAAATTGAGAGACATATTTCTTGGTGGGTTGGATGACTTAGCATAGTAAGGATGTCAACTTTCTTGAAAGTATGAAGCATATGTAAGTAAGTTATCAAAATCCCAATAGGACTTTCAATATAAACAATATTATTCTAAAATTTATAAAGAGGCTGAGAATGTAGCTCAGTAGTAGAGTGCTTGCCTATCATGTATGAGGCTCTGGATTTGATTCCTTGTATTGGGAAGGAAGGAAGGAAGGAAGAAAGGAAGGAAGGAAGGAAGGGAGGGAGGGAGGGAGGGAGGGAGGGAGGCAGGTAGGCAGGCAGCCAGGCAGCCAGGCAGCCAGGCAGATAGGTAGATATAGGATCTGAACAGTGAGACAGTTTTGAAAAAGAATGGAATCAACTTATATGATTTGAAGGCTTGTATAACTATAGTAATCTAAACCGTGTAGTATTAGAAGAGGGACAGGTATGTTGATCTATGGATGAATAGATAGAACAGAAATAGGATCATCCAAGTATACCCAAATATTTTTTCACAAAGGTACCAGAGTAATTCAATGAAGAAAGGGCAGTGTTTCAATCAGTAGTCTTGTAGCAGTTAGAATCCATAGGTAAAAAGAGCACCTCAACTCAGACCTTATATAAAATTATTTCAAAATAAATCATGGACTTAAATGTAAACTATAAAAATCCATAATCTGCTGGGCGCAAGTGGCTCACGCCTATAATCCTAGCTACTGAGGAGGCTGAGATTTGAGGATCGTAGTTCAGAGCCAGCTCAGACAAGAAAGTCCGTGAGACTCTTATCTCCAATTACCCACTAGAAAACCAGAAGTGATGATAGAGCTCTAGCCTTGAGCTGAAGAGCTGAGTGACAGTGCCCAGGCCCTGAGTTCAAGCCCCACAACCAAAAAAAAAAAAATTCATAATCTTTTAGAAAAAAGTATAGGAGGAAAATCTTTGGGATCTATAGCTAAGTATATAGAATTCTTAGATTTGACAGAAAAAGTATGATAAAAAGAGAACTAAAGTTGACTTCATCAAAATTAAAGATGTTTGCTCATTAAAAGTCCCTGCAATGAAGAGGAAAAGCCAAGATACAGATCAGGAGAAAATTATTTGCGAACCATGTATTTTTACAAAGAATTAGAATCTCAAAATTCACTTTAAAAGCAGGAGAAACTGTGCTAATCATGGGCAAAGACATGATCAGGTATTTCACCAAAGAGGTCATACTGATAGCAAATACACATAGGAAGATATATTCAACATCATTAGTTATTAGGGAAATGCAAATTGATCGTACATATCATTAGTACAAACAATAGAATGGCTGAAATAAAGAATAGTGACAACACTAAATGCTGCTAAGGATGCTGGGAAACTGGAGCATTCAAACATTGCTGGTGTGAATATAATGGTAGAGACATACTGGAAAATAGTTCAACACTTTGAGAAAAACTAAAAATATGATTGCCATACTACCTAATTCCACTCTGAGCCTTTACTACAGTGATGAGAAAAGACATAGTCACATAAAAATCTGCTTGCAGATATTTATACCAGCTTTACAACAGCCCCAAACTGGAAATAATCTAGATGTTACTCAACAGCCACAGAAAGGAATACTCTGTTGATACATCCAGCAACTTGGATTAATCTTCAGAGAATAACACTGAATTGAAAAAACAATCTCAGAGGCTATATGCTATATGTTTACATTTATATAACATACATTCTTGAAACAACCAAACTATAAAAAAGGAAGCCAGAGATTAAGAAAGATGATGGAGGTAGGGTGGGGTAGGAAAGAACTAGATGTGATTATAAGTGGGCAACAAAGGGATCCTTGTGGTGACAGAAATGTTTTGTATCATAACTACATCAATGTCAAAATCTAGTTGTCATTTTGTACTATGATTGTGTAAGGTATCACCATTGGAAGAAATTGGTAAAAGATGCAGAGAATCTCTATTGTTTCTTGCAGATGCATACATTTCTATAATTAACTCAAAATATTTTTAAAAAGAAAAGGAACAAATCGTTATTTATGAAGTATTTGCTATATAGCCAGCGTCTATTTAAGGCATTCTCATAAATCTTCATGAAATCTTACTATACTTAGGCTTATTTCCCAGATGACTTTGCATTAAAACATTACTTTTACTTGTGCCATCAACAGCTTTTATTGAAGTGTTATCAAAAAGGCTTTTCTAGTAAATTTGAGAAAGATATACTATTTTTTTTTTTTTTTTTGTCCTGGGACTTGAACTCAGGCCCTGGGTGCTGTCCCTGAGCCCTTTTTGGCCTTTGCTAGTATTCTACCACTTTTAGCCACAGTGCCACCTTCTGGTTTTCTGGTAGTTAGAGGTAAGAGTGTCACAGACTTTCCAGCCCCGGCTTTGACCCACGATCCTTAGCTCTCAGCTTCCTGAGTAGCCAGGATTATAGGCATCAGCCATCTGGTACCTGGCAAATACTTTATTATAGGATTTTTTTTTTTTTTTTGCCATTCCTGGGGCTTGAACTCAGTGCCTAGATGCTGTCCCTAAGCCTCTTTGTGCTCAAGGCTAGTGTTCTACCACTTGAGCCACAGTGCCACTTCTGGATTTTTCTGATTAGTTTATTGTGATAAATTACTAGTAGCTAGGATTACAGGCATGAGCCACTGGTGCCTGGTTTATATAGGAATTTTCAAGGTCTTTATATCCTAACCAACATTATATACATCCAAAAATATGTCAAAATAAAAATGTAAGCTTTCTTCAAATTCTTTGATTTTTGGAATTCTCATTTTCATAAAATGACCATTAACAACTTGCTAGAAGAAATAGTAATTCTTATATCATAATAAATGTTGGGCTATAATGTTCTATCAACATCTCTTCTGGACATAGAGATGTTGTTAATTATGTTTTACTCAATTTCTCTCATAGATTTGTTATAAACTTCAGTATACTTTAGTCAGAGTATTGCTGATCCAAACTACTTACCATGTAACAATATAAATAGATCGAAGTACTAAAGTAAAGACCAACATTCCATACATGACCTGGATAGGAAAAGGAAATGAAGTCAGCGCAATCATTTCTTTGGCAAAGAAAGCACTTTTTGCCGTCAAAAGTCAATTAAACGTAAACAATGACTATCTTTCATTATATTTTTAAAAACATAATTTTTTAAATGTGCAATTACATAATAGTTGTGTTAACCTCTAAGGAAAAAATTAGTGTAATAGATACTTAGGAACTGTTTAGGCTAAAAAGCACTGACTCCTTACCATAAATTAAGTGGAAGCACCATATAAAAGTTGGCATCCCTAGCTAAGATCTGGAACCAACCCAGATGCCCCTCAGTAGATGAATGGATCAAGAAAATGTGGTATATATATACACAATGGAATTCTATGCCTCCATCAGAAAGAATGACATTGCCCCATTTGTTAGGAAATGGAAAAACTTGGAAAAAATTATATTAAGTGAAGTAAGCCAGGCCCAAAGAAACATAGGTCCCATGGTTTCCCTTATTTGCAATATCTAGTATATGTATGAGTCAAGCGGAAAAGGTCAGATAATGTGATGTCAGGAAAATGAACCCTTAGATATGTATTTTAAGGTTTTTTTCTTTCATGCATGTGTTTCTAACGCATTTATAAGATTATCTCTTTGTTGCTTTGTATGTCCCTCCCCCACAGTATAACCCCTGCTTTCACTATATTTGATGTCAGTATAACTTGTGGAGGAGATGGGGAAAAACCAGTTGTTTAAGGATACAGGTGGACCTGTTGCAACAATGAGAAGTACAAGTTGTCATGTCCAAAACGAGCTTTACAACGTCGGGGGGGGGGGGGGGGGGAGGGGGGAAGGAGGGGAAGGGGGGAAGGAGAAGGATTGGGATTGGGGGGGAGGGGGGAGGCTGGGAAGGGATGTGAAGGGTAAACCAAAGGAGGAGGCTGCAATGCTTGGTAAGAAATGTACGCATTATCCTGCCCATGTAATTGTAACCCCTCTGTACAGTATGTTCACAAATAAAATAAAATTAAATTAAAAAAAAAAAGTTGGCATCCCTGTCTACATTTTACATGTCTTTGCTCTGTCTTTGCATCTAGCTACCTTGGATTCTAGGAACAATAGGACTGTGACTAGGATTGCTTAATAATAATTTATACTTCTTGCCCCAGGGAAACTGAATTTTTCTCTATTTAAATCTAAAGCTCTTCTCTATACCTGGGAAGATGGGCTGAAATATTTCCTTTGTCACTTCCTATGGAATGTCCTTGTCATACAATAAATCTTTCTTTTCCCTTCCCTGCTATTTTCAGTCTACAGAGTGAAAAATACCTTAAGTATTATAACTTAAATTCAGATTCATTAAATGTTAGCATTTTATCACACATGTGCTACTCATGTGTGCACTATCTCTCTGCTTAAATAGTGCCGATTTCACTTCCTAAAATATAAGAACACTCTATTTTATAACCATAGAATAGACAACATAATCTGGAAGTTAACACTGATAGGATACTAAATGACTTTATTCAAATTTTTCTGTTCTCCTGATAATATTCATTATAGGTAAAGAAAACGTAGGGTCATGAATCATATTCAGTTATTATGTCTCAAGTCCTCTTTATTCCAGAACAGTTCTTGTCTTTTACATGACTTTAAGTGTGTGTGTGGCGCGGGGGATGGGGGGTAGGGGTGGGAGTGGTGTGGAGCTAAGAATCTCACTTAAACAGGCCATCACTCTGGAGGCTCTGAGTTAGATCTCCAGTACCAAACACATAGTTGTGTCACAAGACAAGCAGATACATTATTTAATATCTGAGTTCTTTCCCTTAAAATGTGTACAATAATAAATGATTTATTTGTAGGTCTGCTGGTGAGATTAGAAATCTTTGTGATAGGAAGCATAACACTTAGTAAATAATTTCTCCCTTTGCTTATAGGTTACAACTTTATTTCATTCTGGTTTCACATACTGGAATGTACTTAAAAACACCATTTCCTATAACAAAGTCTCCCGAATTTACTTCTTTCAATGTAACTAATCTCCCAATTCAAAAATTTTATTAAGGGGCTGGGAAGGTGGCTCAGTGGTAGAGCACTTGCCTTGCATGCCTGAGGCCCTGGATTCGATTCCTCAGCACCACATAAGCAAAAAGAAAAAAGCCGGAAGTGGCGCTGTGGCTCAAGTGGTAGAGTACTAGCTTTGAGCTGAAGAGCTGAGGGATAGAGCCCAGGCCCAGAGTTCAGGCCCCATGACCGGACCCCCCAAAAAGTTTTTAAAAAATTTTATTAAAATATATTAAGGGAGATACATTCAAGGAATCTGCAGTCTGTCTTTTATAGATCATAACACGATAAAAAGACTTTGTGTGTGCATGTTTTATGTGTGTGTGTAGTGCTGCCTAGCTCTTTCTGCTTATAAAGAGCAATGTTGTACAGGGTGTGATGAATCCCAACATACTGGACCTTGGCACTGGTGTCCAAAGTATACTCCCCTGGCATATATATATATAATATATATTATATATCATATATGTATAATATACTATATGATATATAATATACAATTATATGTATAATATATAATTATATGTATATGATATATATGTATATAATATATAATTGGGTATTTGCTAAAATCCATCCAGGTGTAGATAACATATATATAATAGTAGATAACAGTATATATCCAATATATGTAACATTATTTATATTTATACCTAGCTTCTGTAGACCCTTGAATTTGTAATCCCCTTAAAACACTAAATATTCTTAGGACATCTAGCATTTCATACTCAAAAGTTGTACATGCCTATAATTTCCTAGATTAGGAAAACACAAAAGCAGGCATGTACTGTTAAACAATCAAATATGTGATAATTAAATAAAATTACCTGGTGGAAAATAGGCTCCTTGACCTTAAGGTAAACCTGCAAAATGTTGAAAGACATAGTTAGTGAAGTGCATTATGGAGAACAAAGTCCTATTCTAAGTATGCTGCAAAGCTTAAACCTCTTCTGTTTCCCCAATCCTTCCTGGACCTGATCCCAACTATGTCAAACCAGATTAGGTAGGATGGCACAGAGGGCTAGTACCTACTACAAGAGGCTTTATCCAAGTGCTAGCTGCCATGATAAACAAAATATTTCTCATCTGTTGTAGACTACTCTGGCCTGTTTTCTGGCCTCTGTAACATAATCATGGAGGGACAAGGATTTACAGACACTCTTGAAACGTGAATAAGTTATACTAACAGCCCTGAAGCACAGCTATTCTCTAATAGAAAAAACTTAGACTTAAAGACAAGAGACAATTTTCAAACTCTGCCATGTAATTGCTGCAAGTCTTGAGCAAGTCAAAAGATTTACTTTTCTTTATCTGAGTAATAGGAATGAGGAATGAAAAGCTAAAATCCATCCAGGTGTCTAGACATAGTAGATACTCAATGAGGAAAGAGATTTAAAACAAATTTCTTCTAGTGTCCTGTTTCTAAGCTACCCATTTACCTAGAAACACTCTTATCTCACAAATCTTACTTTTAGGCTCTAATGTTATATATGGAAACTCAAGAAAATAGTATATATATAATGAGCTTTAAACCTCCTACTTAACATCTCAACTAGTTGGAATCAGCTTCTGCCTTTATTAATGTACTGCTCATTAATATTAGTCTTATAAATAGAATTTTTATTCAACTAACAATCTTCAGTCCTATCCTTGTCCATTCAGAGGCAATTAATACTGTACTTTCTTTTTCTTGGAATTTTTGTATTCTGTGATATCAAGTTCTGTTCACTTTTCTGTAACTCAGATTGCTTTCTCTCAGTCTTCTTTGCTGGCTCCATTTCTTGCACCTGTCCTTCAATGTCTCCATTCTATAGGGTTATGTATTAAGTCATTTTAATGGTCTATGTTATTTCTGTGCCACTCCCTCTATTCTCACATTTCTAGTATGACCTATACTCTACCAGCGCATAACCTGCATCTTTAGACCAGCCTGCCTTCTGTTATTAATACTGGGCACCTCAAACCTAATATATTCTACTAAGTTAACCTAATTTTTCTACTGTTATGACATCATAAGCCCACTCCTTACCTTTCCTTCAAAAGCTACTCATCTTTCAAGATTCCTATCATAGTTAAGACATCCTGTGAATGGCAACCGCCAGGCCATAAAGTATGAAACCACTTTTTCCTACTTTTGTCTACCTCTAACCTCTTTATCCACAGTCACATGTCCCACATATTTTAATTTATGTCAGCTTATATTTTTCACCTCCTAAGTTGTAGTATTTAGTCTTGAGTCTTATATCTTACAAAAGTATATGAAAAGTTCCTAACTTTAGCCAACACATTTAATCCATGCTTGATAACCAGAATAATCTTTCTAAAACATACCTGATTATGTGCCCCCCAATTTAAAATCAATTAATGAATCCATACTACCTTGAGGCTAAAATTTCAAACCCTTAGCTGGCCACCAGTGGCTCACACCTGTAATTCTAGCTACTTGGAAGGCTGAGATTGGGAGGATTGCAGAACAAGGGTAGCCTGTGTAGAAAGTTTGAAAGTTCCCTTCTCAGTAATACATAGTATGGTGGTGTGTGTCTGTCATACCAACTGTTGGGAAGTGAAAAATAGGACTGTGGTCCAAGTATGTGTTAAAGTAGGAAGTGAAATCCTGTCTCAAAAATAACCAGTTCAGCCAGGTGCCAGTTGCTCACATCTTTAATCCTAGCTTCTCAGGAGGCTGAAGATCACGGTTCAAAGCCAGCCCAGGAAGACAAATATGTTACACTATTATCTTTGAATAACTAGAAAAATGCTGGAACTGGAGGCATAATTTAAGTAGTAGAGTACCAGCTATGAGTAAAAGAAGACAAACAAAAGCACAAAGCTCTGAGTTCAACAACACAAAAAATAAGTAAGTAGGGCTGGGATGTAGCTCAGTGGCAAAGCGCTTGCCTAGCAAGTGCAACGTCCTGGGTTCGATCCCCAGTACCAAAAAAAAAAAAAGAAAAGACAAAAAAAATACAGTTAAAAAATAAGTAAGTAAATAAATAAGTAAATAACCAAGCAGTTAAAAAAGATTCTGGAGCCAGGTGTTGGTGGCTCACACCTGTAATCCTAGCTACCTAGGAGGCTGAGATCTGAGGATCGTGGTTGAAAGCCAGCCCAGGTAGGAAAGTCCATGAGACTCTTAGCCCAATTAATCACCAGAAAACCAGAAGTGGTGCTGTGGCTCAAGTGGTAGAGCACTATCCTTGAGCCAAAGAGCTGAGGGACAGCACCCAGGCCGAGAGTTCAAGACCCATGACAAAAAAAAAAAAGAATTTGGAGGGTGGCTCAGTGGTACAGTGCCTACTTTAGCAAGTATAAGGGCCTGAGTTCAAACAACAATACGGCAAAAAAACTGAACTCTGAAGCCATATACAAGATATACAAGGTGTTTTATAATCTGACATTTGCATAAGTCACCATATGCTTATTCTTTGCTCCCTACTTAACATGTGCTCTACCTAGATAAAATCTCCCCCAATTCCACTGATGGTGATGAGTCAAAGCACTTTGGAGAGTTATCTAACAAACACTAAGTAATTATAATAATTAACTCTGTAGTTTTGAGGTTAATGCTTATGAACACACACACAAATTGCACTCTTGCCTAGGGACCTGACAAATGCCTAATCTAACTCTAGTGACTACTCTCTGAAGCTTTCCATGACCTACTCAACCAGAATCTTTTTGGGGGTGGGAGTGGGGGCAGGGTCTCCTTATGGAGTCCAATATGGCCTCTCAATTCTCTCCCATTAACCTCCCACAGGCTGGGATTACATGCTTGTATCATTCCACTAGGCTCAAGTAGTGTTGTGTGTGCATGTATGTGTGTGCTTGCATGCGCATGTGCACACGCACATGCACACCAGTCCTGGGGTTTGAACTGAGAGTCTGGGCACTGTCAATGCTAAAGGCTAGCACTTTACCACAGGAGCTACAGCTCCACTTCTAGCTTTTTTGGTGGTTTATTAGAGATAAGAGTCTTAGAGACTTTTGTACCCAGGCTGGCTTTGATCCTAGAGTTTAGCTTCCTGGGTAGTTTAGGATTAGAGGTGTTAGCCACTAGTGCTTGGTTTCAAGCAGTATTATGTTTTTTAATTTCTATATGTGTGATGGTCCTGGGGCTTGAACTTATGGTCTCGGTACTATCCCTAAGCTTTTTTGCTCAAGGCTGGTACTCTACCTCTTGAGTCCTCTTATGGCTTTTTGGTGTTTGGAGATAAGTCTCATAATCTTTCCTGCCTAGGCTGGATTTGAACCATGACCATCAGATCTCAGGTATGAGCCACTGGTGCCAGGCTTAAAAATTAATGTTTAAATGGCAGACATAGGTGGGATGTCATCTAGATTCAAGTGGTCTTGAATTTCCTTTATCTCCTCACTATGTAATTAGTTTTAATTTCTATTATTAGAGTTACTATCTTGGGATGTAATTCTTTGCTTATATGCTTAATTTCCTAAACAGAAATAACTCTTCTTGGATAGGAACTATTTCTTGATTATCTTTGTTTCTAGTGTCTAGGATAGAGGTTTCTAGTGTTTGTTGAAATTGATATTTTCTTAATACAAACGTGATTTATTTGAGAAAAAATACTAGGGTAGGATGAGATGACGAGCTATATTTACTAGGAAAAGCTAGCCAATAAAATAGTCATACAAGGGCCAATGGAACACAACCAATCTCTTGTTTTTAGCAAATAGGAGGTAATATGTACATCCATAAGGAAAATTAACTATTTTAACTGCCAATAAATATTTTATTTTCTTTTTTAATTTTTTCTTTTCAATCTCTTCTTTTTAAAAAAAATGTTATTTCAATTACAGAGAGAAATGCTTGAATAGAAAACAAAGGAGCAATATCTAAAAGTGAGATTCCAGTTTTGTATAGAAACATTTCAGTTAGAACTGCTGAAACTAAACATTAAAGTCAAAATGTGCAAAACTTCTTAAGTAGCAAATTCACTTAATCTGTTAAACAAAATATGACTTACTGTGGTTACTATTAAACTGAATAGAACTAAGGTAAAAAGCAGATGGTAATTTACTGAGTTCTTCATCTTGAAACATTCAAACCTTAAAAAAAAAAAGACAGAGAAGCTTTCTTTAGAACAGATAAGAAGGAACTTAACAGAATTCTGCATTACTACTTGCCACAGACTTTGTGATCTGCTGTTATTTAACATTTCTTTCTACCCACTAGCTTCTCTTAGAAACCCTGCCCCACCTACAGGCTCTAAGAGGCTGACAGTAAGGCTGCCTCCTAAAAGTCCAAACCTAGAGAGCCAGAAACTAACTCACTTGAGTAAAAATCTGAAGTCAGATGCTGATATCTGAAGACATTCAACAAGAAAAAAACAAGCCAGGGGCCAGTGGCTCATGCCTGTAATCCTAGCTACTCAGAGGGCTGAGATGGGAGAATCACTTGGAAGCCAGCCTAGGCAGAAAGTTCTTGAGACTCTTATCTCCAATTAACCATCAAAAAGCTGGAAGTGGAGCTGTAGCTTAAGTGATAGATTGCTAGACTTGAGCAAAAAAGCACAGGTTCAGCGCCCGGGCCTTGAGTTCAAACCCCAGAACTGACACAGACACACAAAAAAAGGAAAATAAAAATAAAAAATAAGTGAGGCAAACAAAATATAATGTTAAAAATGTTGATGCTATTTAAAATTGCACCCCAAATAATGAAAAACATAGTTAAATTTAGCAAGGTATATATGCATTGAAAACCAAAAAAAAAAAAAAAAAAAGAGAGAGAAATTAGTGAAAAGCTAAACAAATGGGAGAATTATGCCAAGCTCAGGTTTAGAGGACTTACTATTGTTATCAACTGGTTAGTCTACAGAGTCACTGTAATTATGATAAAAATATTTTTGCAGTATAGAGGCCTGAACTTAGTGCCTACTACTTGAGCCATACCTCTCCCCCTAATCACACTCAACATTCTAGCATACTTTTTTTTGGTAGAAATCGACAAGGTATCTCTAAAATTATGTAAAAATACAAAAGCTTAAAATTTCCAAAGCTATACTGATAAATTGGAAGACTTATTCTGTTTGACTTCAGCATTTACAATAGGAACTATAATAACAAGATAGCATTGGTACTGACATTCTAGAAAGCTATAGAGCAGTCTACAGCGCAACAATCATTTAATGCAAGAAAAAAAATGACCTTTGCAAAACATGGTGTGGAAAAACACAATAGCAGAAGGGGAATACGTGACTCTCAATCTTATGTCATATACAAAATTAACTCAAAATGGATTATGGGCCTAAAGATGAAACATAACATAAATATTAAAAAATAAAGGCATTAAATCTCTGGAAAAATAATATCTTCTTAGCCCTAATTTCTTACACCAAAAATAATTAGTCCTAAAATTTTGTTATAAATTGGATTTCATAAAAAGCCAAACCTTCTGTTTATTATATCTCTAAAGGCCAAGCAATGATGGTGAACATCTGGGATCTAGAGGATCATGGTATGTGGCCAATCTGGGTAGAAAAATTCACTAGACTCCATCTCAAAAAATGGGCAAGGGATGCAGCTTAATTGGTAAACTTCTGTTAAGAAATTGTCTACGCGATAGGGAAACTACTTCAAAACCTGATGACATAATAACACATTCTTTACTCAAGGAAAAGCAGATTACACAATTTAAGCCAAATTAAGATTCTAACTAAGCTGGCTTTAGGGTTTGGAGGTTACAAATTTAAATACAAATTATTTTAACTTCCTGGGAACTAAACTATTAATTGATTTCAATTTGTAATTTTCTACACTACTATGTATCCTGGTAATATAACTGGTTTAATTATATTAATTAGCTACGAGACAAATATGAATTAAAAATATATGAAATAACTAAATTTGAGATTTAAGCACTTACATGCAGTACACGAATATACAGCAGCTGTAAATCATTGGGAGTTCATCCAACAGCTATATATGAAACAAAGAATAACACCAAGTTTCAATATGATAGTGTTCCAACGATATAAATCAAAATAACACATTAGCATACTAAAACACTAGAATGACTAAGGCTGTCATCTCTTGGGGTGGGGGTATAGCTCAGTGGTACAGTATATGTTCAGTAGGCATTGCATTCAGTTACCAGCTCAAAAAAGAAAACAAAAATGGTCCATTATCATTTAATTTCTTTTACTAGTTTTATAGAATCACTAACGTTCTTTTTTACCAGTTTTTTGGCAGTAGTTACTCAGGTTTGCACTAAACACCTCCTGCTTGCTCAGTGGGTACTCTACCATTTCAGTGACACCCTCAAGCCCTTCTCAGCTTTAGTTAATTTTTAGATAGGGTCTCATGACGTTTTTGCCTGTGATTCTGTACTCTTACCTACATGTCCCACATAGTGAGATTGGAGGCATGAGCCAGCATACCGAGCTTGTTTGTTGAATGAGGTTTTGCTAACTTTTTGCTAGGGCTGGCTTGAAACACAATACCTCCTTGCATGGCCTATCATTTCTTTAATATATTTATTATCATCTAACTTACTGAGTATGTATGTATAATGTCTTGTTTTTAAATAAACAGGTTTATCTATCTGTTCTAATGTATATCCTAAGTAGCAGACCTGACTCACTATTCCCACAGGGAGACTTTGTAATCACACTGCTCATATCATTTGCTATCACAAACTATATTATACTTCTAGGAAAGAATAGTGTCTACTACCAGTATTCTTTTGCATTTCCTTCCTTCCTATATACCTTAAATAGATAAAACATTCACTAAACACAAGTTAAAAAATATTAATGACCACAGAAACAATTTTATTAACCCAAGTAGCCTATGTCTCTAAAGTATTTATTATCAGCCCAATAATAATAGTAACTATAGCCTTTATGTACTAAACTGAAGGCTAGAAACGAAGGGAAGTATTATAGATTTGTAAGTGTGTGTGTGTCTGTATGTGCATGAGCACGCGTGCATGTGTGCACAAGAGTGTACTGGTCCTGGGGCTTGAACTCAGGGCTGGCCTGAGCCTGTCTGTGCTCCTATCACTTAAGCCCCAGCACCACTTCAGGCTTTTTCTGTTTATGTGGTACTGAGGAATCAAACCCAGGGCTTCATGCATTCTAGGCAAGCATTCAACCACTAAGCCACATTCCCACATCCTCCCTGAGCTTTTTTTGCTCATGGCTACCATGTGAGACACACCTTCAGTTCTTTTTTTTTTTTAAGTTAATTGGTGGAAAGAGTCTTAAGAGCTTTCCTGCCCAGGCTAGCTTCAAACTCTGATCCTTAGATCTTAGCCACCTTAGTAAGTTAGGATTCTGAGTTAAGAGTCTGAGTTCAAAATCTCAGTACTACCAGAAAAGAGGGAGGGGGTGAAGTTTAGGCATAAGTTACTGGTGCTAGGCTCCATAGCCCATTTCTGCAGACCTTCTAGCAACACCTTGAGAAGGTAGGACATAAAAAGATCCACTTTTTCAGTTATCTCATAGATTATCCATTCAGCCCATGAAAGGAACTGAATTCTTTTATTCCTTGACTAAATTATTAAGCAGGTATGAGGCACACCTAAAAGCATGCTATGTGACAGAGACAAAAACACATATTTTTTATTGCTGTTATAAAGGTGATAGAGGGGTTACAGTTACGTAAGCCAGGTAATGAGACATTTCTTTTTGGACAATGTCACCCCTTCTTTTGCTACAAGAACAGTTCTGGTTCTCATGGTGACTTACAATCTTGCATAGAAGAAAGACACCCTAAACAGTTAATTATACAATTGAGTACTTAATTATAATTATGAAAAATGCTATGAAGGATAAGTATAAGGTACTGTGATCATTAAAAATGGTCTTAATGCTGGACTCCAGTGGCTCACACCTGTAATCCTACCTACTCAAGAAACTGAGATCTGAGGATCAAGTTGGAAGCATCCTGGGAAGGAAAAATCTGTGAGACTCTTATCTCCAATAAGCTCAGAAAATTCCAGAAGTGGCATTGTGGCTCAAGTGGTAGAGCACTAGCCTTGAGCAGAAGCAGCTCAGGGTCAGTGCCCAGGCCCTGAGTTCAAGCCCCAGGACTAGCAAAGAAAGATCTGAGAAAAATTTTATTAACAGAATGACATGAAAATGAGACCTGAGAAATATTTACATGGAATTTAAAAAGAAACTGGAGGGAATGTGAGAAGCTTTAAAGAAGGAACAGCTTATGGAAATATCTTATGACAGGAAGGGAGGTTGAATAACTGAAAAAGAGCCCAGTGTCTTTGAAGTTTAATTACTGAGGGAAAGAAGGAATATAAAACAAGAGGGAAGATAAGAAGCAAACAAAGTATGCAAATGTTTTAGGCAAAAAAGGCATTTTAAATTTTATCTTAAAAGAATGGTGGCTGGGTACAGTGGCTCATGCTTATATTCCTAACTACTCAGTAATGGAGATCAGGAGAACTAAAGTTCAATGCCTGAGCAAAAAGTTCTTAAGACCCTATCTCAACCAATAAAAGATAAGTACAGCTCGTTTTGGACATGACAACTTGTACTTCTTATTGTTGCAACAGGTCCACCTGTATCCTTAAACAACTGGTTTTTCCCCATCTCCTCCACAAGTTATACTGACATCAAATATAGTGAAAGCAGGGGTTATACTGTGGGGGAGGGACATACAAAGCAACAAAGAGATAATCTTATAAATGTGTTAGAAACACATGCATGAAAGAAAAAAAACATTAAAATACACATCTAAGGGTTCATTTTCCTGACATCACATTATCTGACCTTTTCCGCTTGACTCATACATATACTAGATATTACAAATAAGGGAAACCATGGGACCTATGTTTCTTTGGGCCTGGCTTACTTCACTTAATATAATTTTTTCCAAGTTTTTCCATTTCCTAACAAATGGGGCAATGTCATTCTTTCTGATGGAGGCATAGAATTCCATTGTGTATATATACCACATTTTCTTGATCCATTCATCTACTGAGGGGCATCTGGGTTGGTTCCATATCTTAGCTATGGTAAATAATGCTGCAATAAACATAGTTGTGCTGGTAGCTTTAGTGTGGTCTTGTTTGTGATCATTTGGGTAAATGCCCAAAAGTGGGATTGCTGGGTCATAGGGGAGCTCTATGTGAAGTCTTTTGAGGAACCTCCATACTGCTTTCCAAAGTGGTTGAACAAGTTTACATTCCCACCAACAATGAAGTAAGGTTCCTTTCTGTCCACATCCCCTCCAGCATCTGTTGTTGTTAGAGTTCTTGATTTTTGCCGTTCTAACTGGAGTAAGGTAATATCTCAATGCTGTTTTGATTTGCATTTCTTTTATGGTTAGGGATGTTGAACATTTCTTCATGTGTCTATTGGCCATCCTTCTTTCTTCTTCAGAGAAGTTTCTCTTTAAGTCTTTCGGGAGGCTGGGAAGGGATGTGAAGGGTAAACAAAGGAGGAGGCTGCAATGCTTGGTAAGAAATGTATGCATTATCCTGCCCATGTAACTGTAACTCCTCTGTACAGTAAGTTCACAAATAAAATTAAATTAAATTAAAAAAAAAAAGATAAGTACAGGTGCAGGGGCTCATGCCTAATATCCTTGCTATGTGGGAAACATAAACAGGAGGATCACAATCCAAGTTGACTTGGTCATAAATTTGGGACCCTAATGAAAAAGTAATGAAAATAGCAAAAGAGCCTCTGGAGGTATGGCTCAAGTGGTAGAGCATCTACCTGACAAAATCCCAGTATTAACAAAAAAAAGAGGGCGAGAAGAGTAGTAAAGCCATTGAAAAAGTTTAAGCATGTTGATGGTGGAGTATAATTTTAAATGTGGGTTTTGTTATTATACAGGTGAGAGGCCAATAGATGAAAAGACAATTGCTACTGAAAAGATGGTTACAGTTCCCAAGCAGGGTTATACACAGTGCTATACTACAGAAGTCTACACAGGAAAGCACCAGTATTGTCAGAGGTCACGAGGCACAAGGGAAAGTGATTTTCTGGGGCAAGGCAAGGCAGTCTAGGGTAAACAGGATTAGAGCTAGATAGCTGGAATATTTTCAGTAGTCTCTAGGAGAGTGGCACTAGTGGCTCATATCTGTAATTCTAGTTACTCAGGAGGATGAGATTTGAAGATTGCAGTTTGAAACAAGTTCAGGCAAGAAAGTCTTCACAGACTCTTATTTCCAATTAACCAAAAAGCTTGAAGTAGAGCTAAAGTTCAAGTGATACATTGTTTGAGCAAAACAAAACAAAACAAAATTAGGGATAACATCCTGAGGGATAGTGCCTGAGTTCAAGCCCCAGGACCAACACAAAAACAAAAAAGCGCCTTAGTCCAAGCCCCAGGACCAGCACAAAAACAAAACAAGATAATACATGTCTTGAGCCAAACTTCCTTTTAAAATGAAGTGACATAACACTCAAGTCTAATACGAACATTTCTTAGAATATCACTAACATTTAAATATTAGAGTCGTCTAGTGGGTGGAAGACATGAGTATTTCTGTTATCTTGAAAAACCATCAACCTGTCAAAATCATTCCCTACCTGCTAGAAAATGAGCTGACATAAACCAGACCTGTCAGTAGAGGAGAAATGGTGATATCTGCATTATTAACACCTCATACTTCTACATTTACAAGAATAGAAGCAATTTAACAATTCTTGTTTTTTCAAATCTTAAACTCAGTATTGTAGACACAGATTGTTGTTGAATTTTTGCCAAAAGATAAGCAATGACATAGCTATGTCATTCCTCAAAACACTGTTTTTCCTATATAATCAAACACTCAGTGACACTACTTTTAACAGCTCACATTAGTGACATTAAGTACATTTATTGTGCTACAAATCTCAAATCTTATCAAGCTCCTTTTAGGTATTTAAAAATATATCCAAGGGAAATATATCCATTTCATGTTTTTGTTTTGTATTCTTTCTTTTTTGTCAGTCACTGGACTTGAACTCAGAGCATAGGTGTTATCACTGAGTTTTTCTGCTCAAGACTACCACTTTGAGCCACAGCGCCACTTCCCTGTTTCCTGTTTCTTTAGGACTACTGACCTAAAGGACATCAACTTCATTTTTTTAAATTGTGAAAATACCTTACAAAGGGGTTACAATTACATGAGCAAGGTAATGAGTACATTTCTTATCAAGCATTGTTGCCTCCTCCTTTGTTTCCCCTTACCATCCCTGCCCTCCCATTCCCCCCCCTGCCCCGCCCCCCTCCCACACCAAAGTTGTAAAGTTCGTTTTTCGACATAACATCTTGTACATCTCATTGTTGCAAGGAGCCCACCTGTATCCCTATTTAAACAATTGGTTTTTTTCCCTTCCCCTCCACAAATTATACCAACATCAAATACAGTGAAAACAGGGGTTATACCATGAGGAAGGGACTCAACTTCATTTTTAAAGCTAGACTATCATAGGGCTTAATTAAAGGACAGGCAAGAATAATTAAATTACAACAAAATTCTTTAGGCTAGTTAAGGGCATATCTGTAGCTGGGATATTGAAAAATTAATCTCACGGGCCAACATTCTAGATGTAAAAGCACTTAATAGCAATCAATAGTAGGAAAAACAAACCTACATTAGTAGGCCAGCCCACTCAGAAAAAAGAACATTTAACTCAAATACTTAGATCAATGTAAAACGGAACAAAATAAAACATACCTAAACTGTCTCACCCATCAGCAAGGAGAGAGAGAGAAAAATAAACATCACTTTAAAAACATAAATAAACAGTATTTCCTACAAGGCTAATAATAATGGTTCAACTGAGACAGTGCTTAGATATACTAAAGGAGGAGTGAAGACAGTGTCTAGAGATTAGCATCCCACAAATAAGTCTTTAAAAACTCAAACTGTCACAAACACCAAAACCTGATTATTAATTATAAAACGAGATACTGCTGTTTTATACTTTCAAAATAAGCAATATTTGTAGGCTTTGCCCTACAGTATGAAAGCAGGACAAAATAAAATCAGCTGAACATAGTTTGAAAATCAGTTGAAATCATCTGGCTCCCTAAATTTTGGGAGTTCACTTGTGAAACTAAACAAATCTAACTTCTTCCTTCAATCCAAACACTTTACAAAGAGAAGAGAGCTTAAATATGATTATTTTTTAAGTCCTTGAAAGTATTAAAACTTTTAGAGGAAGGAAAAGGAAGAAAAACAAAAACAAAGGGAGAGAAATCAGTGGGCCTCTCTTTGGTCAAAACAAGTTCAAGAAAGTTCATTGGTAATTTGGTCATTTATCAGTCTTTTGAGTATCTATATTCTGATCACAAGGAACTTTAGGTTTTTCTGAAGCACATGAACATATGCAAGCTCTTTTATCATAATTCTGTCTCAATAACCACACGGCCAAACTTCTTGCAGAAGCCAGTTGACTCACTGCTGAGCTGAACTGGTGGACAGACACCAAAAGTGGCATCTTTTTCACAGATGTTTAAGACAGGATTGAACATTTTAGTACCTAATCCTAGTCTTTCAGTAAGGTTAAGACATTCTAGTGTTATGATGTAAAGTTTTCTGATTCTATTAATGATCTACCTTAGAAATAGACATGATTTGCTAACCCACCAACCTCTAGCACATCCTTGTGGAACTTGTCATTATGGCTGACTGGAAATACAGTATGGCCTGGTTCAATTTCTTCTATTGTTCATATTGAATGGTGTCACATATCCAGCTCACTAGTATGGGCACTCTGATAGCTGGGACCCTTTCTATACAGTTAAGTATTTTAAATATCTCTGGGTGCACTTCTAAAACTTCATGTTTTAACTTATAGCTATTGTCACATATACCAGACATTGCAATGACTCCTTACTTGGCTTAGGAGTCAAATCTAGTATGTCATTTCATTCTTTCACTATGTAAAAAAGTTACCCTTTCAGATTCCTTTTTTAAAAATTAATTTTATTTTTTTGTTTATGTGATACAAAGGAATTGAATCCAGGCTTCAATGCTTCTTAGGCAAACTCTCTAACACTAAGCCACATTCCAAGCCCCGATCTCTTCAGACTCTGTCTGATGTTTTAAACCTTTACAGATTCTTCCTAGCTCCATATTGTTCATATTTCCATAAAATATGTCCATTACTTGAAAAATTATTATAAAGGTGATGTACAGCAGGGATACAGTTATAAATATCAGGTAATGAGTACATTTCTTTTTGGACCATGCCACCCCTTCCCTTGCCTACTTCATTTTTAACATAGTGTTTTAGTGAGTACCACTGATCTATTTCTATTATTTCTTATAAATCTGTTTTTTAAGAGCAAATAAAGTGAGAGTAAGTACATTCTGTTCTGTGTTTGTGATGATACTAGGGCTTAAATTCAGGAATTCATACTCTTGCTTAGCTTTCCATTCAGGGATAGTACTCTATTACTTGATCCAGGCCTCCACTCCCAGCTTTTTGCTGGTTAATTTAAGGTAAGAGTCTTCAGGATCTGTCTGCCCAGGATGGCTCCAAACCATGATGTTTCAATCTCAGACTCTTGAGTAGCTAGGATTATAGGTGAAAGCCACCAGCTCTGGGCTCTGTGTTTAGTTTTTCATCCATTTGGGTCTTCTCCAAGTCAAGCACAACATTCCTAACACCTTAAAATGTGTTAGTATTAGAATCAACTCTAAGAATATATTTAAAGGATAGCTTTAAAATAAATAATTCAGGGCTGGGAAGGCAGCTAAGTGGTAGAGTGCTTGCCTTGCATGTATGAGGCCCTGAATTCGATTCCTCAACACTACATAAGCAGAAACAGCTGGAAGTGGTGCTGTGGCTCAAGTTGTAGAGCGTTAGCCTTGAGCTGAAGAGCTGAAGTACAGCGCCCAAGCCCAGAGTTCAGGCCCCACAACTGAGCAAAAAATAAACAAATAATTCAGATTATTGTGTATGCAGATCCTAAATAATATCATTATCTAATCATAGTAGCCATTAGCCATTGCAATGTAGCTAGTTGACACTGGAAAAAAGCCCACTCCAAATTGAAATATACTGTGATTGTCAAACACACTCCATATAACAGGTTATAAAACACTTTGGTAATAAATTTTTATTGATTATATGTTGAAGTAATTCTTTAGTTATACTATGTTAAATAAAATGTAATATTAATAGATAATTATGTTTCTTCAACAGGGCTCCAAGAAAACCTTAAATTATACACAAAGCTCAGATTTTATTTCTGCTAGAAAGTACTATTCTAGAAATTAGTGATGGTCAACTAAGAGGTCCAAAGATTGAAGACTGGGCATATGGCTTCTCTAGAGCAAAGAAAGTGAACTAAACATTCTTGAATACTTCTAAATCTTTACCAGTTAGAATGAATGAACTACTGAAATAGACGTCACAAAGACATGAAAGATTCATGCATTGAGATACTGTTTTGGTGAACTGTTTATGTCTTTTTAAGATGTTTTTGTGTGACTCCACTCTTTAATTGTGTATGACTAAACAGAGTTGTTAAAAAGCTATACTACTTTCACTCTTTTATGGATGATAATTTATCTGCTTGCTTCCAGAGATTACAAATCCCACTCCCATCACTTTAACCACCCTTGAGTTATGTTTTCATTTCTCAAATAATATGACAATATTAATAAGAATAGTGTGATTACTAACCTGCATTTCATATTTCAGAGTCATGTGGAAGCACCAGGATCCCATTCCTACCACTGAAATTAAAGCAAACAAATAAAAAACAATTAGCATTATTTCTTTAGAGCCCCTCTGCACATTACCTTGACAATAAAATTTTAAAAAATAAATTATTGGGCTGGGAAGGTGGCTCAGTGGTAGAGCACTTGCCTTGCATGCTTGAGGCCCTGGGTTCGATTCCTCAGCACCACATAAGCAGAAAAAAAAAAGCCAGAAGTGGCGCTGTGGCTCAAGTGGTAGAGTGCTAGCCTTGAGCTGAAGAGCTGAGGGACAGCGCCCAGGCCTAGAGTTCAGGCCCATGACCAGACCCCCCCCCCCAAAAAAAATAAATTCTTTAGAGATGAAAGAGTGATTTTAGAAGACAATAAGGTATGTGAAAGCACTAAGTTTTAGGGAAACAAAGTTTATAAAATCTTGTAGAATGGTACAGCTGAGATTGGGTGGGGGGGAGGATGGGAAGGGATGGGAAGGGGAAACAAAGGAGGAGGCTATAATGCTTGATAAGAAATGTACTCATTATCTTGCCCATGTAATTGTAACCCCTCTGTACAGTATTTTCACAATAAAAAAATAAAAATTAAAATAAATGATACAGCTGATGATAGGTAAGTTCTGTAATTCAGACTTTAGTATAGAAGGAAACAAGCACATTATAAGTTTTCATTTTCTTTTTGGGCAGGACTGGAGCTTGAACTCAGCACCTTGCACTTGCTAGGCTAGTGTCTACTACTTAAGCACATCCCCAGCCCACATTGTAAGTTTTCTTAAGTTCTGCCCACTAAGTGAAATCACTTAGACTAACAATATCCCATCATTGCTATTAAATATATTACTCGATGCTCTGGATAAGCTTTCATGTGTATAGCTGCTTAGCTATACTTTAGCACTCCCTGACACTAGTGATCCAAACAGCTAAGTGGTATGTTTACGAAGAGAGGCCAGTGGTGTTCCCATGCCTGTTAATGGTACATTTAGTTATCAGAAATGACTATAAAAGGAGAGCTACTGTTTCTACAACAACCATTTTCAATGCTTAGAACAAACTTAGTAAGTAACTAATAAAAATTTACTATTGAATAAGATGGTTTTAACAAAATTAAACATTAAGATACATTTTCAATAAGTCTGTTTCACTTTTTAAAAACTTAACGATATCTAGTAATAGGATTTCTTTTCTGAGTAGGGTTAGTTCAGCATTTACTAAGTACTTCCTGTTTGCCAAGTTCAGTTACAGATGATGAAGTAGAAAGATTCAACCACTGGTCTTAATGAAGCATATAGTCTACTGGAGGAGAAAGGCAAAAACACAGAAGAAACCAGAAAATGAAGATACAGTAGCATGGGAGCACAGAGGAGGCACCCTTGTGAAGGAAAGCAAGAATGAGTGGAGGTCTAGCATTATAATCATGGTAAGGGGGCTGGGAATGTAGCTTAGTGGTACAGTGCTTGCCTAGCATGCATGAAGCCCTGGGTTCAATTCCTCAGTATCTCATAAACTGAAAAAGCCAGAAATGGCACTATGGCTCAAGTGATAGAGTGCTAGCCTTGAACAAAAGCATCTCAGGGACAGTGCCAAGGCCCTGAGTTCAAGCCCCAGGACTGGCCCCCCCAAAAAGGTAAATAATTTATATTAGATTTATATGAGGCCACTTCAGAAAAATTTCAAACTTGTTATTTTTGCTTTAAAAATCACTATAAAAAGTGAAAGTGAAGTGAGATGATTATTTGTTCTAAAGCTAGAACAGCCAGTTCATCAAGCTTTACTCAAGGACTGCTTTTACCCAAACATTTTCAAAATATTTTCTTGTTATTATAAATTTTATAGCATTAAGCCAGGCGCCAGTAGTTTATGACTGTAATTCTAGTTACTCAGGGTAGAAAGGTCTTAGCCTGAGACCTTAAGGTCACAATTCCAGGCCAGCCTGGATAGAAAAGTCCAATGGAGAGCTCCAATTAACCAGCAAAAATACTAGAATAGAGAGGTGAGGTACAAGTGGCAGAATGACAGGGATTTTTTTTTTTTTTAAGCAAATAAGGTGAGTTAAAGTACAAAGCCCTGAGTCTAAGACCTGGTACTAACACACACATACACAAAAGACATAACACAAAAGTCTGATGGCTCAGAGACCACTATAATCCATTTGCTTTTAATAATCCAAGTTGGGTAAGACATAAAACAGCATTCTGATGGAAAATCTATTATGGTAGCGATGTTAGTTTTCAAGGCAGAGTAGCACTAGATTTACTCCTAGATTTTTTTTTTTTTTTTTGTGGGGGGGTGGTCCGGTTGTGGGGCCTGAACTCGGCCTGGGCGCTGTCCCTCAGCTCTTCAGCTCAAGGCTAGTGCTCTACCACTTGAGCCACAGCGCCACTTCCGGCTTTTTTCTTTTTGCTTATGTGGTGCTGAGGAATCGAACCCAGGGCCTCATGCATGCAAGGTAAGCGCTCTAACACTGAGCCACCTTCCCAGCCCAGATTTTATTTCTTTAAAAAAATATTCTGCTGCAACTGACATTTGTGGTAGATTTCAAATGCAGAGAGATGTAATGGAACAATATCTTTCTTCATACAATATTTTACACTTTGTTCTTTTAAAGCAAACCACTCATTTTTGCTAGTTTGCTAGCTATCTTTATTAGTATACATTTATATACTATTTCCATTGTCATGCACTCCTCATTTTTCTGTTAACTCCTCCAGCCATGGGTGATTATTAGTCTAGTAGTAGTAGTAGTAGTATATTATTAGTAGTGGTCTACTATCTGTTCTAATAGATTTGCCTATTCTGCAAATAAAGTTGTTGAAAACTACACTCACACAGAGACATTATCAATTTGGCATTTTTAAAAAATACCACTTTTCTAGCTACTTAGTTGGCTGAGATGGGGAGGATAATGGTCTGAGGCCAGCCTGGACAGAAAAGTTCATCCCTTCCTCAAACCATAGCTGTGTACAGTGGAGCATGCCTGTTATTCTAAGCTACCTGGAAGGTTGAGATTGGGATGATCAAGGTCCCAAGACAGCCAAGACAAAGTCTGTAAGATTCCAGCTGGATGCAGGGGCATGTGTCTGTTAGTCAACAACTACAGGTTAGTAAGGATGTGAGACCCAAACTTAACAATGACCAGAAAAAAAATGGCTAGAGAGTGGCTCAGTGATGGAGCACTACACCTGAGTTAAAACCCCAATGCTGGGGGGAAGGGGAGTGGTAAAAATCACTATGATTACAAGGCAGGACAAAGGAATAGTTTTTCAACTTTAATAATAAGGGTATTTTAAAGCAGCCTCATATAAGTATATTTACAAACTGTATAAATACTATGGTGCTGGCTGTGTATGCTAATAGTTAATATATATGTTTGTTTTTTGAGACAGGGTCTTGTTATCTAGCTCAGGCTGGCCTTAAACTTGCCATGTTGCCAGAATATGAGTTCTTCCTACATGTCTTCCCATTGCTGGGATTACAGGTGTGGGCCACAATACCTTGCCCATATATTTATCCTTATTAGTATGTATTAACTATACAAAGGAGTTTCTTTGTGATATTTCCAAACATGTATTAGATGTACTTTGACCCAATTCACTCTCTAATTACTCTTTCTTCTCTTTCTTCTATGGTTACACAATTTTAATGGGTTTCATTATTCTATTCATACCTTTCATTCTTCCCTTCCTCCTGTTTCCCAACCTAAAGAGCACCCCACATTTTCCATTCATGTCATTCTTTTTTATTTTAAAGGTCTACATTCCACGTGTGACATTTGCCTTTTCCAGTCTGACTTATTTCTCTTAACATAATTTCCGGTTCACTCACTTTCTTAAAAATGTCACTTCATTCTTTATAGCTGAATAATACTGCATTTTATGTATATGTATGTATACATACATATACATTTAGCTCCATTTATATTTTTTAAAAATATAAAACAGTGATTTTTAATGAGGTAAAATAAACTATATATATATATAAAGTTGAAGCTGGGCGCTGGTGGCTCACACCTGTAATTCTAGCTACTCAAGATGCTGAGATTTGAGGATCATGGTTCAAAGCCAGCCCAGTTAAGAAAGTCCATGAGTCTCTTACCTCCAATAAATCACTAGAAACCAGAAGTGGTATTATGGCTCAAGTGGTAGAGCGCTAGCCTTGAGCTGAAGAGCTCAGGGACTGTGCCCAGACCCAGAGTTCAAGCCTCACAAATGACAAAGAAGAAGAAGAAGGAGGAGGAGGAGGAGGGGGATGGGGAGGGGGGAGGGGAAGAGGGGGGGGAGGAGGAGGAGGGGGAGGAGGAGGAGGAGGAGGAGGAGGGGGAGGGGGAGGGGGGAGGGGGAGGAGGAGGGGGAGGAGGAGGGGAAGTTGTTGTTGAAGTTGAAGAGCTTTCTTCCCAGGTTCCAACAGATAATTTTTCTTACTCCCAGGGCTGTGCACATCTTACTTAGTTAAATGACAGAATAAACACCTAGTGAGGCAGGCAAAGAACTCTGTAATCTGGCTCCACTCATTTCTTCCATTGCAACCTGTGATCCAGCAACATTCAATAGCCTCTGTTTCTGATCTTACATCTCACACTTACCCATTCTTTCTGCCAGGAATTATGCTTTGTTGTCCAGTCCTACTTGCTGCTAACCCATGTCTTTGCTTAATAAAATCCTATGTAACCACTACATCAATTTTATTTTTCTGCTCTTTATTCCTTTCAGCTTTTTTCTTTAGAAATAATTTCAAGCACATAAATATTGAAAGATTTCCACAGAGAGCTCCTATATATACTCTAATCAGATTTTTAACACTTTATTCACTTTTACATATATTTATGTACAGCTTTTTCTATGCCATTTATGATTAAGATGAATACATCATATCCTTTTACACCTTAAACTTTCAGTGTATCCCAGATTCATATTAATTATTATTCCCAAATCAAAATTCTCCTCTGCTCCCTCTTCTATTAAGTCTACCACACACAGAGTTCAAGAAACAATATTTGGTAGGTTAACAATTACTAGCTTTTGGTGTATT